CCTCCTGTTTTCTCATCAGTGTAATGTCTCTGATAGTTTTACCCACCACATGAGGCTTTTGCTCCTCCGACTTAACGACAAGAAAATATACCAGAGAGGCAAAAAGAAACAAAATGGCTTCATGTTTCAGATACTCTCAAAAAGGCAGATAAGGTTGATATTATCAGCTTTAGGTGAATCAAAAGACAACTTTTGGTTTAAGAGTTTGGCCAGTCCATACCACATGTTATACATGTGAGTTTTTTACAAAATGATAGTTCCATTACTTATTCTGTTTATAAGTGCGTTGCATTAACTCAAGTGATGAATGACCCATCAACATATTTCAGCCAAAACCTTCAATTTGTGTCTTAAAGGCCTTCACCTACTGTCAAGATTTGCTGTATTTGAATGTGTCTGAATGACTTCAAAATTAAAAAAATTCCTATGAAGGTACAAAATACCAACCGGGTGGAAACATGCCTTCCATGTGGCAGAGGATTTACAGAGCAAACATAAAAATGACTTTAACAGCAGCAACAACAAGTCTGCAACAGCCTGGAAGGATCAAGTGGCCGCAGGTTTTCCTGTTGACACTGGTCTCAGGCCAAAGTAAACAGATGGGAGAACAGACAAGTTGCCGTCCTGCTCCGAGCAATGGATCCAGCCAGGATTTAGGATCCATTCAAGTAAAAGGCGCATCATAAGCGCATCATCGGCCCACACTTGAGCCCGATGGGCCACGCCTCTGGCATCACTATGACCACATTCCTCAGAATAGCCCGACTCTGATCGGCCCTTCTCTCCACAGTCCACGGCCCAGCTCAGCAGAGATGTGGGGCTGGAGAGCTGTCTCTCAACCAGTAACAGCATTTAGCTGCATTGACTGCTGCCAGCCAATGTGCGGGGATTATCTGGGACTCCTTTAGAACAGCTCTAAATCTAATTAGTCGATAGGTCTCCCCATCTATCCCAGTGCTCTTCACAAGGGAAGAAATTAAGCACACAGACGTCTTCACACACAAACCGCTCCACCATTCATTCTTCCTCACGGAATGGACCTAAATAAAGACTGTGAGGTGTTCCACCTAAGCTTGAGGGTTAACTTTGCTACATCTCATACAGATTCAGGACAACACTTGCGGAAGTAAACTTCTGATCATTTATCAAACTGCTTTACGCAATTAGATGCTGCAGGCACTGACTAATAGCTTACCATTTGTTTTTCTCTGCCTTCGGTGTGAGTCCAGCAGAGAAACAACAAAAGGCAAAAAGTTACTTCTAATCTTTTGAAGGACTGAACCATAAACTTTAAATTACTTTAACCTCGTTAAAGCAAAATGCAGCTAACACATAATATAAAAAAAAAGCTGCAATCAAAAACGTATTGCAACATTTTAAGGGATCATTTACACTCCTTTTTTAGATTAGCATTACCTGAGTAATTTAGCAGATTCTAAACACAAAATGCATTTAGGAAATGTGTTTGATGCTTTGAATCATCCAGCTGTATTTACCTTAAAATAAGCCCTGTCTGACTGAGCTGCAAGGTGATGCTCTACACACATGAAAACAATGCTATTCAGAAATTTGAAGAAAAAAAAAACACACCTGCTTAGAGAAACATGGCAACACTCATGGAACAACACTTGCAAAGAAAAATTAGGAGAGCAGAAAGCATGCTTTATGTGACTATACTTTTGACTTTATCTAGAGGATTAACTTTTCCATCCCTGAATACTGATGCATACGGGGTGACATATTTGCATGTCATGTGGGTTCATATCACAACAGGGCCAGTGTGTGTTGACCGTTTAATCAAAAACTGTGGCCATTTTCATAGATAATAACCATGGTAATCCCAGTGCTGTTAGACGAGCTGCTCCAGGCAAGCAGATGTAGAAGAAGTTGTTTTTTAACATTTGGGGGATAACAAGACTTTGCAGTGACCACATCCTATAAGCTGTTTGTTTGTGCAGCTTGTAGCCAAAAGAGTGAGCTTCTTGTTTACAGAGAGCCAAATAAATTTAAGAGTCTCCTAAATGATGATCCTTATATTAGATTACGGAGCCAAAAATCAAAGGATGACACTATCGGAACATTCTAACCAAAGTAGCAGAAGTAAAAAGTCGCTGCATGCATGGCTTCACAAAGTTGGATAAAAGCTTCAAAGACGTTTGTGACAGGCTTTTTTTTTCGGTTGAGCTGAAGTGCCTACGCCCTGTGGTAAGCCACAACTCTGTGTCAGCGCGCACGCCCGCGTGCGTCTGTCAATAATGTAAAATAGAGAAGCAGACAGCGCAACACATATATAAATAGCGTGATGCGGAAAAAAAACAAAAAACGGACAAACATATTCTATAAGCATAGCATCAAACAGAAATTGTGCGAGAGAACGCATGGAAACGCACAGCTATTGAGAGAGGAAGACGAGGCAGATGCTGATTCTAAGGAGATTAGTGAAAGGATGATCAGAGTTTGTTTATTTTTCATAAGCATGTTACCAGAAGTGGATATGAGGGCGTTGGCACATTCAAAATAACTGTACAAATACTAACTAACCCTCCCTGCTGTGCCCCCCCTGCCCCCCCCTCAAATGGAACAAGAACCAACTGTAATCCATATTATACATCTGTGTATGTTTATCAAATATGGAGGGAATAGACAGACTACTGGATTTAACAGATGGCTATTGAAATATGCGGACTTAATCCTGGCATTATAGAAAAGACAAATAGATGCTCTGTGAATAGAGCATGAATCAAATCAGGGTGCATGCAGTTTAGTTTGTGAGATAAGCACCAGTGGTATTTGGATGTAGATTGTCTGTATATATTTTTATTTGTAGTCAATCTCTCTGGGTCAGTCATGTCATTGCTATTTTTGAAACCTTCTCCAGTCTCAACATCAGCCCATCTGTTAAAACGGTAATCCATATAAATTGAATCCATACAAACTCCATCTTTCGTCCGACACAGTATAAACAAGAGTATTTTGTTTTATGTAAGATTCTGTCAAAAGGAATCAAAGGTTGAAGTTTAAATGGTGATAAAAAAATGCATGAAAGGAGAAATGCACATTATTAGTTATATAACACAGTATTGCCCCAGGGAGGCAAGGACCAAGGGACAGGAAAGTCAGTCCAAAACATTACAAACATTTCTGGATAAATCTGGATTAAGAATCAGCAAAGATTTTTTCCCCCCTGGTTTAGAAACAGCAGACATATCGAACGAAAATCATAATAAAAGTGGGAACCTCTGGAATAGAGTAAACCTGAAATACATGTTCAGCTTGGAAATGATGTAAGCAGAAACCTCTCCAATGATGATTGTTTGATTTGATTATTCAGTTGGAAAAAAGAAGGCAGAGTTTGTTGTTCGGTCCCAAGGTGTGTGCATGTAACACTTATTTTTTAACTGAAGCTAGACAATGCCAAACGACTACTTTGGTTCAGAAGAGTCCACCCCAAAGCACACCAACAGGGCTGAGGAACAGCATTATGGCGCCACCAAGTGTTCTCATTTACAACGGTTCGGACATATTTGGTTACTGAAAGTCTTCCATGTTTTTCATTTTCAGCATCTCAGTTTACAATCAACACATATCAGAGTTACACTGATACATTACATACGGCATTAGGTGAAGGCTGATAACTTTGATTTAGGGATTAATATCACACCAGTCCTTTTCAGAACATTTAGATTGCTTTCGTGATATCCATCAGCTCTGTTGTAAACGATTGTCCAATCGGCTTCTCTTTCTTGGCAGAAAGTGTATCTGCTCATATCCCTCCGTATCCATGCAGCTGCTTGTATCCACGATCACATAATCATGTGCTATTATATTGTGTGCGTTGTTGCTTTTTATCATTCTGGTACAATCTGATGTTGGTTTAATCTGTACATCAGCAACCTCTTGCTCTGGATTTATTGTTTAGTCTTAGAAAGGTTCCTTTTTCTGAGAGTAGTATAGGGAATTTTTTTCACTACTTCACATGATTCTGCCTTTAATGCAGTCATTGGTTGCTCACCCTTTTTAACATAGCAGAAGTACAAAGTACATTCTTTTTTTACACCATCAATTCCTCAATAATTACTTGTATATGACTCTAGAAAAAATGTATCATGCATGTCCGACCATAACCAAAGTTTTAAAAATGCTTCTGCTTCACTTCTACTGCTTGCATCTATTTTGTCTGTGTAATACTGGTGCAAAAGATGTTTAAATGCGTAAATGATGTCATAGGGAGTGTCTGCATTCTTTCATTATTATATTATTAAGAGTGTAAATCAGGCCAATGTACACGCAAATGATGCCATGAATCATGATGTGTGTAGTTAACCAATGGTTTTAGTACATATGCACATTTTTGCCTCGACACATGAAGTTGTAATCATGAATGTAGACACAGTTTTCGTGCATCTGGCCTGGAAAACAATTCTGTTCGGCCCAGTGTCACCATACTGAGAAGACTACGTAAAAATAAAGGAAAAGTCTGCATAAAAAAAAGACAAGTTTAATTGTTCTTTTCCTTAAACTACTGTAGGCTGAGGAAATCCACTTTTGGCCTGCTGAAACGCCTCTGGCAGAATTTCTAAAGAGTAATTTAAGCAGGTCAATGAAGACTCTGGATCTGGTTACGTGAAATGCAGAGTAAGCTTCCTGAACTCAAGCAATGCTAATTACATGTTGTAATGATTTTCTGGGGTGATCATTATTTTTTGTTGTTCATAGACAGGGCTAAGGGCTCAGGAGCAATTAGTAGCTTTTCATGCAAATTGGTAGTCACACCCACTGACTCCTTTTCCCTCAGCTAAAGTAGACTCACTTTGATCACGAATTGTCTGTTGTGTACCTTACTTAAAATATCCAATATTTAAATCAGTCAAATTTACATATGATTATTGGTATTTCCACAAATCATCTAACACAGCAATACCAGGGTAGATCGCTTAAAGACAAAACACGTGATAAAGATTGATGTGATAGTACAAAATAGTATATTAAGAGGTGTCCTGGGGTCACACAAAGATGTGGCTGAACAGAGAACAGCAGGCACTGTGCCTTTAATCAGCTCTCCTCCCCGTCCCTCACCCAGTGTAGCTCTCTGTCTTCCCCATTTCGCTGCTTTGTTTTCATTTACTCTCTCATTTGATCATGGCTGCTCATACTACCGAAGAACCGTTTCCCTTCCACGGGCTGCTCCCAAAGAAAGAAACCGGCGCCGCCTCTTACCTCACCAGGTTCCCTGAGTACGATGGGCGAGGTGTGCTCATCGCTATCCTCGACACCGGCGTGGATCCCGGGGCCCCCGGCATGCAGGTACATCCAGCCGGCCGCCTCGTGTTAGCTGCCACCTAGCTAGCAGAAGCTAGGAGAAGCTAAAGGCCCTCGGAATTTAAACCGTCACCCAAAGGCAACAGTTAGCCAGCAACTGGAGCTGTGACAGCAACACAATAGATATTATGACAGCCCAACCAGCGCAAAGCTGCTAACGGCCTGTGTTGGCAGCCTTTCGTGAAATTATGTTTCTGTGGAAAACTGTCAAGACAACAAACCAATATTAATAACATGTCATGGATGCTAGCTTTGAAGCTAATGGTTTAATTCGCCCGTTGAGTTTCCCTTCAGCGTTCACAGCCGTGCCAGTTCGAGGAAATTGACGAAATGAGTGTAGCAACAGCAGTTAGCTGCAAAAATCACTTATTACGAGTTAACTTAATGGTAATTAATCAGTGAATATAACATTACTGCTACGTCTCAGGAAAATAAACTACCGTCTCCAAATTTCGCAAATGAGCCAAGTAACATATTCATATATGAAATTATAACCAAAATGATGATAAACAAAAATATGTAAAACTGGCTAACGACCACATAGAGATGTGTGTGTGTGTGTGTGTGTGTATATATAGCTACAATTTGCATGTTGTCTTGACCACCTTAGTTAGTGAATTAATAAACAGACACACAGAATGAATTACTCTTGTTGGTTTGTTTGTAATTACTTGTCAAGGTCCACTTTCAAAACCAGAGTATTAAAGCATGAGAGGATGGTGCAAAAAAATTTACCTAAAAGGCCAAAATCAGTTTAAAACAAATAAAGGGGTTTAAAATGAGGGGGGCAGACTCTAATTGAGTGAAAGCGCCAATGGCAACTGTTTACTTAAAGTCATTTTGGGAGCCTGGTAGCCTTAAATAGGTTTAGAGGAGCCTGCCCTTTCTGTGTACTTGGTTTAGTTGGTTCATTAGGGCCAACCATTTATTTATAATCTTGTCACCTTGTTTAAGTCATGCTTTAGGGGAAAGAGAGTCTGGCTCCTTCATGCCTTCACCGTAAGTAATCAAATTCAGATGAAGGGGGATGTGGACTTTCAAAAACTAGAAGCTCGACTGTTTCCCCACAGACAGCATATTGTTCAAACAGGAAAAGAAAAGTTTGAAAATATTTTGTTTATGTTTACAAGGCCCCAAACCCCACCGATGAGATGCATAAGCTACTGAGCATTTCCATTTAATGTATTTCAGTTGGGATTTTGCTGATTGATCATTAATTGCTTTTTTTCACTGTTTTTTTAGGTCACAACAGAGGGAAAACCAAAGGTCATCGACATCATTGACACAACAGGCAGTGGGGACGTGAACATGGCCACAGTGATTGAACCTAAAGATGGGACAGTCGTTGGCCTCTCTGGTAGAACGCTCAAGGTCAGAAAACCTTTTGATGGCATGATTTGTATAAAATAAACGTCTAACCATGGGAATTTTTCATTCATGTACTGCCCTAAATCTGAAGTAATTTTGTGATGATCTTGTCTCACTTGCCGTGTCTTTTTCTGTCTTCCAGATCCCTCCTGCCTGGGTCAATCCATCAGGGAAGTATCGCATTGGAGTTAAAAATGGCTATGAGTTCTTCCCTAAGGCTCTTAAAGAAAGAATACAGGTAGGAAGATGGGACCTTATTACAGCACTGGTTCTGTCTAGATTGAGTTTTTTTTCTCACTACTGTTCATCTGCTCAGCGCCAACTATTAAATACACAAAACCTGATGGCCAAGACATAAATGTATGAGGCATAAGAGGTTGTTCTGAAAAGTAACAGAGCGCAAAATCTGAATAAAGATTCATATAAAACGGCTGTTTGCAGACCTGTTGCCAGTTGTCTTTTGGTTTGAAAGAGATGTGAAGTGTGGTCTGTGAAGATACATTTTCTCTGTCCTCTGTGGTAATCAGCAAATAACCATATTACATAATACAGCGAGGTTCAACAAGTGGCTATGGAAAATGAAGCCAGTTCTCACCGGTGCAGTGTAGTGGGACGAAAACTAGTAGAGCAGACAAATAAAATACTAAGTCAGAATTCAGAAGATAAAACAAAGAGAATTAAAGCCAATATTTGCCTCACCTTCTTCCCACGATTTCCATAAAACACATTTTCTTGCTTGACTCTCAGAAAGAGCGAAAAGAGAAGATTTGGGACCCGCCGCACAGAGCAGCACTTGCTGAAGTCAGCCGCAAGACAGAAGAGTTTGACCTGGCTCATCCGACGCCCTCACAGGTGAGATCTACAAACTTGGTTTCTTAGTGGAACCATCAGCTTCTGCCTCTCTACTGCCTGCCTCACTCATGCTCCACCTTTGTTTTTCTGTCCAGATTGAGAAGCTGCAGAAAGAAGAGCTGCAGAGTGAGTCAGAGTTGCTGGCATCACTGGAAAAGAAGTACAGTGATCCTGGTCCCGTGTACGACTGTGTTCTTTGGCATGATGGCGACACATGGAAGTAAGACCATTTTTACATTACATTCCCTCTGCCCTTTATTAGTCATTACTATGTTAATGTTTCCCTCTCTCCTCCGTGCGTGCTTGTTGTCAGGGCGGTAGTGGACACGTCTGAGTGTGGAGAGCTGTCCCAGTGCACCGTGCTGAGCTCATACAGAGAGAAACAAGAGTATGCCACATTAGGAAATGCTGAGATGCTTAACTATTCTGTTAATATATACGACGAGGGAAACACACTCTGCATAGTTACCAGTGGAGGTGAGTGGTTGACAGCAAACCTGGCAGCTCAGTTTGCTCAATGTTTTGAGGTGCAAACCATAACCTCTAACCTTAACTTCATTGCGTGCTGCTGAAGGGGCTCACGGGACACACGTGGCAAGCATTGCAGCGGGTTACTTTCCAGAGGAACCAGAACGTAACGGTGTGGCCCCTGGAGCTCAAATCCTTGCCCTGAAGATTGGAGACACTCGCCTCAGCACCATGGAAACGGGCACCGGACTCATCCGTGCGGTACACAACTTAAAGAACCCGACTAATGCACCTAAACTGACTGTTTTTAGTTATTGTGCACCAGTTCATTTTGTGTTTCTCTCTTTTACTGAAAGATGATTGAAGTGATCAACTACAAGTGTGACCTGGTTAACTATAGCTATGGGGAAGCAACCCACTGGCCTAATTCAGGGTGAGTGTGGTGGAGGGTGTGTCTGATTGCGCTGCTCCTGTAAGTCCTTTTTCTGCATTGATTTACCGATGGTTGGCATTTCGACTTTCAGGAGGATTTGTGAGGTGATCACAGAAGCCGTGCAGAAACACAACGTGATTTTTGTGTCGAGCGCAGGAAACAATGGCCCCTGCCTTTCCACCGTCGGCTGCCCAGGAGGAACCACCAGCAGTGTCATCGGTGCGCCTGAAAATCTATTCCTTCTGTCAGTAACAAAGTGTGAGCCAATAAAAATGTTTTCTTAAAGCCTTAATTCCTGTTTCTCTGTGTCTCCATAGGTGTTGGAGCATATGTGACCCCAGACATGATGGTAGCTGAGTATTCCCTCAGAGAGAAGCTTCCTGCCAACCAGTACACCTGGTCGTCCAGGGGCCCCAGCACGGACGGGGCCCTGGGGGTCAGCATCAGTGCCCCTGGTGGTGCCATAGCATCTGTGCCCAACTGGACCCTTCGCGGTACCCAGCTGATGAATGGCACATCCATGTCGTCGCCCAATGCCTGTGGAGGCATTGCTCTCGTCCTCTCAGGTGCGTTCATGGACTGTTGCTTCATCTGCAAATACAAACATGATGCAGTGAATAGAAATTAGTGTGCATGTGTGACTTTTTTGTGGGTGAATAGGGCTGAAGCAGAACGGGATCCATTCCTCTGCTCCTGCTGTGAGGAGAGCGCTGGAAAACACGGCTCTGAAGGTTGATGACATCGAGGTGTTTGCACAGGGACACGGAATAATCCAGGTACCTTCATTCCTCAGCTTTTTGGGATTTTTGGGATTCTTTTTCTGTCTCATTAAAGAGTGGTTCAAATTTCGCCTTCTTACTCTCTCAGGTGGACAAGGCATTAGACTACCTCACTCAGCACGCCTCCTTACCCACAAGCCAGCTGGGCTTCTCAGTAAGTGTGGGATCACAGAGGGGCATCTACCTCAGGAACCCAGTCCAGGTTCTGGCCCCCTCCGATCACGGAGTGGGAATTGAACCAATCTTCCCAGAGAACACAGGTAAGTTGGAGTGCATCTTTACAACTTTAGGTTTGTCTCAGTGGCAATTTTTTGCCTTTTTTAATTTTTTTTTAAAAAAGAAGTCTGGTTTGTCTTTCACTGGTCACAGAAAACTCCGAGCGAATCTCTCTGCAGCTGCACTTGGCTCTCACCTGCGCTGCCCCCTGGGTCCAGTGCCCCTCCCATCTGGAGCTGATGAACCAGTGTCGTCATGTCAACGTCCGCATCGACCCGATGGGGCTGAGAGAGGGCGTGCACTACACAGAGGTGGGGGGGGGGTCGGGTACAGATGAGGAGGATAAAGATGAACATCACATATGTGTGTGGGTTCATGTGTGCTGGTTCTGTTTTTTAGGTGTGCGGATACGATACGGCAGCACCCAGCTGCGGCCCCCTGTTTCGAGTTCCAATCACAGTTATTATCCCCGTCAAGTAAGTTCCCGCCCTGCTGGAGCCCCTCCCCTCCTCCTTAGAGGGTTGTGTTTGCGAGTCTGATAGTTCTCCCCTTCCTCCTTCTTTGACAGGGTGGCAGATACTCGTAATCAGGAGGTGTGTTTCACAGACGTTCACTTCAGACCAGGACAGATCAGACGCCACTTTATCACCGTTCCTCAGGGAGCTTCCTGGGCAGGTTAGTGCTTTTTCAGGGTTCCACTTTTGATTCCTGTCATTTCTATTAATTAACATTCACCACTGCTATCATTCAAGATCTGTTCATTTTTCTAGTTATTTTAGGTTTGATTTAGATTGAAAAAGTGGAGGTGACCCATGTGTGAAGCTTATTGGCTTCTGTTTGGATATTCAAAGTTTGTGTGATTTCTGATTTCAGGCAGTTTTATGGAGCTTATAAATACAAATTTGAATGAGCAATAACTACATATGTCATAGAAACACAAAACCTTTAGAATTCTCCTCAGTGTAAAATTATACATTAATGGCAAATTATTTATCAATGAAGGTGTTTCTTTTGAATGCTTTAGCTTTTATGAGGTTTGCTTAACAATAAAACTGGCAGAAACATAAAAACTATTTGTATGTTTTGGGTAAAATGGATGTCTAGATACTTTATTATTTTTTTACTTGTAAGCCATTCATAATAAAAATAGATAAGAATGAAAAATGGTCTTTCCATGTGAGTCTGATCAGTTTGTTCGTTGCAGTGAAATACTGTATGTCAGTTTTGATAGTAAAAAGAAATAAGAAATTTTCATCTTTTGTGAACTTTTTCTTTTCCCTCTTGTTTTCACAACATAATGAACATTGCCTTTTGTTCCTCCACAGAGATCACCCTGACTTCTCATTCGGGAGATGTCTCGTCAAAATTTGTTCTCCACGCAGTGCACCTGGTCAAACAGAAAGCCTACAGAGCAAACGAGTTCTACAAGTTCTCCTCCCTGTTAGAGAGAGGCTCACTAACGGAGGCTTTCCCAGTTCTGGTACATTCATCATGCCCACGAAGACGCTCATGCGTTGTCCTGAAAACATATTAGAGTCAGCAAAAAAAAACGTTTTTATTTTTTCTCTTCTCCAGTCAGGTAGGGTAGTCGAGTTCTGCATAGCACGCTGGTGGGCCAGTTTAGGGGACGTCACAGTGGACTACAGCATCTCGTTCCACGGGCTGAGCATCTCTCCGTCTCCTCTGCACATTGTAAGAACAGAGCAGACGCAGTTCAGAAATATCACAGTGTGAGGATCTGCCTCTGACTTTTATCTGTCTGGGCCCAGCATGCATCAGAGGGAGTGACGACTTTCGATGTGTCATCTCCCCTGCGATACGAAGAGGTGTCCCCCGCCATCACCCTCAAATCATGGGTTCAGCCTCTGCGGTAAGCACACACACACACACACACACCTTCACTTTGTTCCTTGATTGGCACGTGCTTGTTTTTTTTAATCCTTGCTGTGTTTTTTCTTGTAGACCTTTAAGTTCAAAGGTTAAAGCCTTGGGAGCGCGGGATGTTCTGCCTAACAACAGACAGTTCTATGAGATTGTCCTCACCTACAGCTTTCACCAGGTAAGCGCAACACAATGAGTTTTAAAAAAAAAAGTTTGGAGTTCCCTTTCCTGTGTGTTAAACAGCCCTTTGGTTTGTCCTCAGCCTAAGAGCGGAGAGGTCACGCCCAGCTGCCCCATGCTGTGCGAACTGCTGTATGAGTCTGAATTTGACAGCCAGCTGTGGATGCTGTTTGACCAGAACAAGAGGCTGCTGGGCTCAGGGGACGCCTATCCACACCAGGTCCGCCTTGTAGCCCGAGAAAGCTTCCATTGTCATCATTAGAAAGCAGGACGAATGCTTGTAGTGTTCGTGCTCTCAGCGAACAGGTCTCCTCACGGACAGTTTTATATTTTTCCCCCAGTATTCACTGAAGCTGGAGAAGGGCGACTACACTGTTCGCCTGCAGGTCCGCCACGAGCAGTCCAGCGAGCTGGAGCGCCTAAAGGACCTGCCCTTCGTTGTTTCTCATCGTCTGTCCACCACCCTCAGCCTGGATGTCTACGAGACACACCGGGCGGCCCTCATGGCCAAGAAGAAGGCAAACTCCGTGACATTGTGTCCGGGTGCCACGCAGCCTTTTTACGTCACTGGCCTTCCCGACGACAAGTGAGTCAAACTGTGTGGGTCTGGAGGGTGGGATGTTCAGTCTGTAGATTTATTCAGACAATCTTTGGAAGACATGTTAAGTTTGTTCTGAGCTAAGAGTCACGTCCACAGTAAAGAAAATGACATTAGGTTACTGATCACACTAAACCAGAGCCAGACTTGTCCAGGAATTAGCCATATTTATCTCTTGAGTACACACTGTTGTGAAGCTGAATATTATCGTTGACAGTCCAGTTAGTCACATCTCTCTCTTTATTCATTGTTGCGGTCTTTCTCCTTTCGCTGCTTTAGGATCCCTAAGGGCACATGTCCCGGCTGCTATCTTTCAGGCTCCCTCGTCGTACCCAAGAGCGAGTATGGCAAGAAAGCTGTGAGTGGCTCCATCTGTTCATCTTTATAGTTGAGAGCAGTTCTGTTCCTCAGGACCCAAAGTGGTGCTGGTTTTCACTTTTCAAGTTATCAGGGAGTTTTACAGAGAACAAACCAAAGGAAAGACCTGATCAGTTTGGTGAAAGGAGTCATTAAGAATGGGATGCCAGGAGCACCAGGGGTCCTCAGGATTAGAACAGGCCGGTCGGTATTGATGACGTTTGGCTACTAGTTGAGGCGTCCTTTGGACCACAGGGGATATGAAACGTTTCAAAGTGATTGTCCATCTTTTGGTTAACATTTGCCTTTCTATCTTTTTGTATCCATGGTCTGTTTAGAGAAACATTCCTCATGTTATTTCCAGCTCTTGAGAGTCTGAATCTGGTTGCTTAATGGGTTCTCCATGACCGATAAGGTCCCTGTTTACACCTGATGTTGACGTGCATCTTTGTTGAGCCGTTTAAATGCAGCAATGCATTGAGAAGGAGTCGTTTGGATCCGACCGCTCAGAGATCATAGTGATAGCATAGGATTCCTAAAAAGCATAAGCTCAGATGTGGACTGGGACACATGGTTTAGCAGTACACGTGCCTCCATGTTAGCAGGTTCAGTAGTTATGTTACTCAAAGAAAAGGTCCTTTAATGTAAACGTATACACTGCACACCTTTCCATGAAAGTGGCCGTTCCTCTGACTGAAAACATACATTTAAAATTCCCGTTACCATAAGTCAGGTTTCTCAAAAAGCCAGACCATCTCACACAGGTTCCTGCAGGTATATACTCAGCTACACTGAAATGGGCCTTGTGTCTCTGTGCAACCTCAAGATGTGCATCTCTGGATTTAAGATAGCCAGATTCTCTTTTAAGCTCTTACTCTCATATTCTTTGTTTCTCGTGTCAGAACAGATTAGAAATTGTGGTTGGAGATCATCCTGTTCAGCCGACAAATTAATTTTTCAGGTGACTTGAAGACGAAGTCTGTGCAGTAAATACAGCTCAGCTTGCAATAATCTCGCACAGGTTCGTCAGATCAACAGAATGTCTTCAAACTGGCTGAGAAAGTGGAGATTTGGTGTCATGTTGAACTCCCATGCTTTTAAAGCAGAGCTTCCCTGTTTTATATATATATTTGTCTTCAGCACATGGGTATTAATGTCATAAAAGGTACATTTCGGGCAGTGAAATCCCATTTCTGACTGCCTCAAAGGAAAGTTGCAGAATTTCTAGTTTTGTTTCTTATGATAATTTGGACAAATGACCCATGCACACATGACTTGGGCAGCTGTGAGACATGTTAGTGTCTGAATTGACAAAACTTTTGTTCAGGTGAACCAGCATGGGTTTAGCTGAAGTGCATGTTAATGCCAGGTGTGAACAGGAATGTATTTGTAAAGGCGATCGTTGAATCCATCGCCTCCCCCAAAGACCTCCGTTGGGTTTAGCCTTCAAAATTGGGCAGCAGATTTATTTAAAAAAGAAGGGGAACAAGCTTTGTTCCACCTGAAGCGCCTTTCTACAAACAACTAAAGCTTTTAGTGTTTGCCGTCTATTTTTGGACCAAATGGACAAAGGATTTTGGGGCCTTTTTTTGTTTTTTTTGCACAATTATTTTTTCACCCCAGAAGGAACTTTTGGTTCTAATGTCATCATTCACATTAGATTTAATGTCTGTGGTTCTATCGTAAGAGTGTTGGGTTGTCATCAGATGAATGGGTTTAAAGTTATCAACACATCACCCAAAACCTGCATTGGTCTGTGCTACAAACATCCACACTGAATCCACCGAGTGTTTAAAATTTGTTACATGTACCCGAAAAATGTAAAAACTATTGCAACCCTTTGTACCTTGCCTTTACCTTTACCTGAGTAAATGGCAGCCAAGTGGCAGACAAGAGTATCTGAATGAGGATGAAACATGACTTGAAAAAAGAGAGAGTCCTTTTTGGTGTGTTTGTGTTGTCTCTTCCTTACTGTGTGTTATTCTGACCACCAGGGGCAGGCCTCTGCAAAACGACAAGGAAAATTTAAAAAGGTACTGGATGGGCTAGAGACACTGAACCACAGAGCGTCCACTGCTCTCCTACCGTCTGAAAGCGGCTAATTATTGACCTTTTAATGCATCTGCAGTGAACATGTCAATATGTCTGTGCTGAAAAATGAGACAGTGTGGTCATAGCATTTTATCTGAAACTTTTCTGGTGGTCAGTACAATTGTTGGATTTACTACTTTAAACCTTAATAACTAGGTAATAAAAAGTAAGCTGAGCAGCAACAAATGAGCATTTTTGTCTAAGGAGATTATATTTATAGGATTAGCGTCTGAATGTGGTTATACTGGATATGTTTTGAGCTGTTTTGTTTTTTTGGGGGTTTTCTTGGTGCCTGCGCAGGATGTTGTTCCGGTCATTTACCACTTAATACCTGCTCCCAACAAATCAAAGAACGGAGGGAAGGATAAGGACAAGGAAGGAGACAAAGAGAAGGATGTGAAGGAGGAGTTTGCCGAGGCCATGAGGGATCTGAAGATTCAGTGGATGACAAAGTGAGCTCACATTGATTGGTTGCCAGTTATGCCTTGTTACCGAATCTCTCCCTAAAATCGTGCATCTTCCCGAACGCTCAGGTTGGACTCCTGCTCCATCTACGATGAGCTGATCGAGAACTATTCAGATTACCTTCCACTGCACGTGCAGAGACTGCATCAGCTGGACTCCGAAAAGGTGACAACACACTACGATGGGGGGGGCAAGAGGGCGAAGCACGCTTTGGGTTGAAGAGCGTCAAATTTAATCTGAACTGTTCCACCCATCTTCACTCATAGCCGATCTTTCCTTGTTTGCATTCAGGAGCGTGCGAAACGTCTCCAGGAGGTGGTGACTGCAGCAGACTTTGTCGTCTCCCGCATTGATCAAACGGCGTTGGCCGTTTACCTCACCATGAAGACCGATCCGCGGCCGGATGCCGCCTCCATCAAGACGTAAGTCAGCTGATAGAGGGTCTGTCAAATTTAACGAAACGTCAAGTACGAGAAGCAGAGTTATCAGAGATGTAAAGGATATCGTAGCTCCAGTCAGCGTTACGCGTCCCTTGTGCTTTTCAGGGACATGGAGAAGCAGAAGTCGTCCCTGCTGGACGCCCTGTGCAGGAAGGGCTGCGCTCTGGCCGACCAGCTGATGCTGCCCGCCGCGGCGCAGGATGGCGCCGCCGCCGTCGCCACTGGGCACGCGGCAGCAGAGGAGGCCGTGGAGCCGGTGGCCAGCAGCTCTGACGACACCCAGCAGAGTGTGGCCAAGGCCCTCACGGATGTCTTCTGGGAGGTGCAGAAGTGGGCGGAGCTAACAGACTCCAAGGTGAGGGGGAAGGCTCACAATTTCCAAAAGTTGGATCTAAAATGCATGTTTTACTTTCTTTATTGGAAAATGGAATTTGGATGTCAGAGCATCAGACCAACATCGTTTGTTTTTTTTGCCTTTCCACTGTTAAGGTTTTGATGTTTTCATACAAACACGCTCTGGTGAACAAGATGTATGGCCGAGCCTTAAAGTATGCCTCTAAGATGGTCGAGGAAAAGCCCAGCAAAGAGAACATGAAGAACTGCATCCAGGTACGAGGAAAGCTATGGATGGTTTCTGCTCAACATCACATATCTGGTAGATGTTTGTCTCTAAACCTGAGGCTGGCTGCTTTGCTGACATCACCTCCCGTGGTCTTTTTTTTTTTCAGCTCATGCACCACCTGGGATGGACTCACTGCGCTACCTTCAGTGAGAACTGGCTCCCTGTCATGTACCCGGCAGATTATGCACCATTCTAGACACAAACACATTTAACTTCGGTATCAAGTCCCTCAGGGTCACATGGTTTCTGCATGTGGCCATCCAGCGGCCTCCTGGGATTTTATGTTTCTTTTTGTTTATTTTTTTTAAAGCAAAATATGAGGGATCACTAGAGTAAACGATTATACCAACAGCTGATGGATTTTTATGCAGGCGACAGGCTGCATTCATCCTCTGGTGAAGCCAGCCAAGCTAACATTACCGTGTGGAAAGCGCACAGTCTCCAACTGTTCATTTGAATTCCCTCCAAGGAAAAATGGCAAATTATAAAATGTAAAAGAAAAAAGTTGACAGCATCTCATGAAACGGTTTCTCATTAATATCTTTGAGCGTTGTCCTTTGTTTTGATCACAGCTACAAATATGGGGGTCAACAGCCTCCCCTACTCTGTCACCATTGTATGAGCCACCTATCTTTCTTGTGTAAATGCTGTAAATACGGTCAGTTTGGACTCCAGAGATGCATCCCAAGTCTTTAAAGAACTGCGACCCCAAACAGGACTTCTACTGGCTGTTATTCAATTTCAGAAAGAAAGCTGGAGGATTTGCTGCTGCATAATAATATAAAGGCATACGAGAGCACCCAAAATTTGCCTATTTCCCAGTTTTTGTTTTTTTTAAAAAGGGAAGCTTGTACAAAATATAACCCCTATGTTTCTTTTTTTTTTTTTTTTATCACTCTTGCCAGGTTCAGTTTATAAATCCCGTGTTTAGTCTCATCTGTTTCAGACCACACAACAGTGTTGAGGTGCCTTTCTTCATGTACCTTACCTTTTTTTCCGATGGGATGAAAACGCTGTGAGAGTTTTGACCACAGGAAGCTGCATGTCCCGTGGAATTCACCGACACCCAGTCATTTCACCCGTCAACCTCTTTGGTGTCAGACGTGTTTGCAAAACTCCCATCGGCGCGGCGAGACGCCAGCGTGCCGAGTCTCGATCGCTTCACGGCGCAGACACCTGAGCACCACACCTGGCATCCACCACTCCAGACCTCACTAACATAACGATGCATTTGTGGGCAGCAGCAGGGCGTTCCCCTCAGTATTAAAACAGTTTTCTGGGCAGAATTCAGGATGTTGTACACAGTGTCATACTGTACATACACATATAGCAACACAATGTTAAGATGCAATAGATATATAATAAGATATTATTCTAACCTATGTATTTTGCATATATGCATGTCTTGTAGGATGTAAGGAAAACTAGTTTTATGTGAAATTTGAAAGATTTTTAACCTGAAACATGGTTCTGACGCTATCATCTGTTTTGGTTTTCACGAGTGTTGTTGTGAATGAGTCCACACGTACTTGTTGCGAGCATATCTTTTGTGTACATGGACATTTCTCAAAAGAGACATTAGCCAATTAGAGGGGTATTTTTCTATCTTACTTCTATCTTGTTTGAAAGGCCCACACCAGTGTTTTGAACTTTTTTTTTCTATCATTTGCTACACTTTTTCTTGGGTTGGCTTGACTTTCCAGAGGCTCTCTTCATTATTTCTATTGGTATGTTTTGGCCTTTGTGAGATGGCTCTTGTCTTTACAAGTAAACATACTGGCTTGTATTAAACTAGAAGTAGGGCTGATAAAATTCTCTCTAGCTATTCATCCATAGACTTTACATTTTTCTTGTTAAACAAAAGCAACATTTCAGAATTGGAAAACGTTTCTGCGGAGAAACAAAATGCCATTGTGAGAACCTCTGGGAAAGAGGGCCATAGGTACCAATAGACAGACGTTGGTGTATAGGATAGTTGATGAGCCAGCTTGAGCATGTTTTGAATATTATACAATCATTAATAGCAAAAAAAGAAGTAGGAGCATGCTTTTGAAAACGTTTGACAATACGTGAATATGATTTTGAATTATCGGTGTTAAAACACTGGTTTGGTCCTTTGAAATGTCTCACCCTGATCATGTAACGGATAAAGACAACATAATCAATTTCTATTCTTTTGTATTCATGGTTCTCAACCTTTGTTTGATCTTTTTTTAAAAGCTGTCAAGCGAGGGCGCGATATACTTTCAGTTGCTTTTATCAGTTTAACCAAAGAATGATATCCTATGTTAAGCTGGTTTGATTGTCAACAGAATCATGAAGGCAGAAGAATCTCAAGACAGAAGAAGGATATGGGTTTACACTTTCCAATGATGAGCTGCTGATGGAGATAAATGGGCTGTAACCATTGGTTTCATCTTCCCACCGTGTTTTAAGTACTCTCATGAGTAGAAGATCCATGCCTAAGAATGTAAAAGCTCTACTCTGGAGAGTAAACCCTGTCTTCTGGGGGAGGTCAATCAGTGGTCAGAGGTGCTTGTGTTTCTGTTTTTAAGCTGTGTCTTGGGTCACTTCCTCCAGCAGCTTCGGCTCAGTTCTCTGCATGTGCGCTGTGGTTTTGCTGGAGTAACTTGTGACAGACTTTGTTCACATCTTTTTACTTTCATCCTGCCTCTTTTGTTTCTATTTTTCTTCCGTGTGGTTTTCGGTTTTTAGTTCTGACAGATGTTGCATTCAGGGCTCCCAGCTTTCTGCAGTACATGTTGCCAATGACAGTTTCTCCGATAATGGCCTTAATTTTCACCACAGGACTTCACCGTCCACCTCTGACACCAAACACACTGCTCTGCTGGTGTCAGGACAGACTTCAGAAATGCTTATTGTGGATGTTGAGTGTTTATATATTTATAGCCATAAAATCTAGTAAATGCTAATTTTAAAGAATGTTGCAAGTTAAGCTATGTTCTAAGATTTATTTTATACCCATCCTTCCTGGATGACGTGGGACAGAACTGAGATTCTTTCACAATTTCGAGCTCACATGGAATTACATCACAAGCAAGAAAATTACACTGAATAAAATTATTTGGAAGAAGTAAAGTTTGCACGGGTGGTCATTTCAACGTATGGCGAAGTGTAAAAACATCATTCACATGCATTAAAAAAACAACTGTTATTAAAGACTCCCTAAGAGAGCAAAAGGATTCTTTTTTCACACTAACAAACATTAATAACAGCAATAAACTGGTTCTTCAGAAACCAAGACCAACAAATGTTAAGTATTACTAGCCTAACATAAATATCACTTTAATTTGATGTTATTGTTGTAAGTATTATAATGATAATATAATAGGTCAAGGCAAAACCTGATTTTCAGAGCTTTTAGAGGTTAGAGTTATTTTCATTGCTTACCCCTATTCATACATTTTTTGTTTACAAGCTTAATCTTATTTGTGGTTGTGGAGGCAGATGACATATGCAATCATCAGGGAAAAAATACATTTTAAGTAATTTAAGTTTAAAGCTGACGTTGAGCCTTCGGTGCTTCGGTTCTGCTCAAATAGAAGCTGAGGTACACTTGTCCCCATGACTAGAAAACATCTGTGATTGCACTGAACCCTTCGAGTTCCAAACATAAATAACTGTCTTAACTCATTTTAGTGCTCATAAGGCTTTTTGGACCGTCAACCTGCAGTCGTGTTGTCAAATCCCTTCCACCGCTGACTCTCTGCTGGTACCCTTGAAGATCTTCATCTCTCCGTCTTCGGCCAGTAAAGTTGTGTCAAAGGCCTTTTGAAAGTTGTCTGTAAAGGTCAGGTCTGTCTCAAACCGGACCTTGTTGGCCCAGATCAACGTTGTTCCTGGTTTGCAGAAGTGCTTCATTGTGGCCAGGAGCTCGTCCAGGAAGTCGTGATGGTAAACCACGTCGGCTGCCAGCACGTAGTCGTACCGATAGACGGACGACGGGTAGGTGCTCTCCAAGTCGAAGCCCCAGGAGAGCGCAGCTATCTGGGGGAGGTGTCTGCAGCGGCCCCTGGTGTTCCTCATCACGTTGGCACGGAGGTTACTCAACATCTGCGGCAGATCTGTGGCTGTGACCGCAGCTCCTGAGGATGCAGAACACGGTATGTCTCAGTAAATCCCGGTGGGCCCCACTCTTCAAGTTGATTGCAGGTCTTTTTTTTTTTTTTTTGGTGCTAGGTTGTATGCGATGCTGTGATGAGTTTAGTGGCCTCTCACCCAGCAGGCTGGCCACGATGGCCACCAGTCCTGTCCCAGCTCCCAGTTCCAGCACCTCCTTCCCTTGCAGGTTGAAGGTCTGCGTTTGATTCTCCAGGAAGGAACACAAAGCCAATGCCTGCAGGAGAAATCAAGGCAGAAATCCTCAACAGAGATTAGATTAAGATAATTGAATTTTTTTATTTTAATTTCAGTGTACTTGGAAATACTCACAGCTGGCCACATCATTCCTCCGTACGAATCTATGGATTCGTAAATGACAATGTCCTGGCCGACGTAATGGTAGACGTCTTTCTCAAGACTAAAAATAACACGAGGGATCCAGTTGTGCTGAACAGCTGCCTGCCTCTCAAGCTCCTGTCCTGTGAAACAACATATAAGCTTTGAGTTCAGTCAAAGAAAGCAAAGAAAAACAATGCAATATAACACAACAGCTTTGGGTAAGTGTCAGTAGACAAATTAGCCAAACCGCAATGGCAAAAATAAGCCTATGTCCCTTTTCCTTTTAAGTGCAGACACACTACCCCAATGGCTGAAGTACACAGGCCTTTTGGCGTCTCTGAGGACAGTTTATAATAGTTTTGGCTTCACAGTCTTTTGGCCCAATGCATCTCACTTCTCAAGTTTAATTTGTGGCACTCCAGCCAGTCTAATGGAAGTCACCAAGAGGTCTCACATAAGCATCTGCTGTGACGCGTCCTGTGTTTGCAATGCCAAGCAAAGGCCGTGTCTCAAATTGTCCTATTTAGACCAAACACGGCTGAACCAGAGTGAAATTCAAAAGGAGCTAACTCGATATTTCAGTATACTGTTGTTGAAAGTAAAAGGTGATGCATTCACTTTTCATTTGCGGTCAACAATGTCGGAAACATTTCTTGCCGGTCTCTGGTAGATACCGCTGGCAAAGTTCAACTATAAACAGCCCCATCTGGCACCAGGGTTCCCGGTTCTTTCAGGACGAAACAGTGACCCCATGTGCAGAAGAAACCGCTCACGTCTTAAGTTGCAAACAACAATACACAGAGAAAAATACGCTACCCTGGCGGTATCTCTTGAATGATCAGTGAAATTGCGCCAAACTGTGTGATGAATATAAAAACTATGCTTTTTTAGGGTTAAATTTCACTTAAGTTTGATGACTCACTTGAAGGTCCTTCATCTCTAGTCTCATCTGTGTCATCGCTTGAACAATTGTCCTTTTTGGGGTTCTCCATCTCCTCTATCTCTTCTTCCTCATCACTGTCTTCTATTTCTTCTCCGTGATCTCCTCTTCCATTTTCTAAGAAGTCTGTTTCATTCACCTGGTCATCACAGGAAAGTGCAGCTTCACTGTGCGTTTGGGGGTTTCCTTTACTCCTCTCATCCCCGTCTGTCTCCTCCTCCACCACTATCTCTTCCTCCTCATCACTGTCTTCTATTTTTTCTCCGTCATCTCCTCTTCCATTTTCTAATAAGTCTGTTTCATTCACCTGGTCATCACAGGAAAGTGCAGCTTCACTGTGCATTTGGGGCTTTTCTTTACTCCTCTCATCCCTGTCTGTTTCTTCCTCCACCACTTCTCTTGGAAGATATTCGATTTTAAACCCCTCATGACCATTTTTCTCCTCATCTCTTATGGTTGCCATGAAGATCTTCATCACTCCGTCTTCGGCCAGTAAAGTTGTGTCAAAGGCCTTTTGAAAGTTGTCTGTAAAGGTCAGGTCTGTCTCAAACCTGACCTTGTTGGCCCAGATCAACGTTGTTCCTGGTTTGCAGAAGTGCTTCATTGTGGCCAGGAGCTCGTCCAGGAAGTCGTGATGGTAAACCACGTCGGCTGCCAGCACGTAGTCGTACCGATAGACAGACGACGGGTAGGTGCTCTCCAAGTCAAAGCCCCAGGACAGAGCTGCCACCTGGGGGGTGTGTCTGCAGCGGCCCCTGGTGTTCCTGCATAAGTTGACTCTCAGGTTGTTCAGGACTTCTGGTAGGTCTGTGGCTGTGACCCAGGCTCCTGAGAGGGAAAAATACAACAAAACGGTGAATAACCCCGGTGGTGTTTGTGAGAGATTTGGTCGAAATCTACACACCTAAGAGGGACGCCACAACAGACACAAGGCCAGTTCCCGCTCCAATCTCCAGGACCGCTTTGTCCACAAGATTCCATTGGTCGCTGTGAGTTTCAAGGTAGTGACAGAGATCCAGAGCCTTGGAGCAAAAAAGATGGTTCCAGTCAGTACCAATACTCTGACTTCTACTCATTCTTATCTGTACTGAAAGAATTAAAAAAATGGTTTGGAAGTTTATTTGTGAAATCATTAGTCCATATTTGATTGACAAATATTCAGGATCATTTCAGTCATCAACAAAGCATAAGACAACTCATTTGAAAATCTTGTTGCTTATTTTTAAATTGAGTGGGCGTGTACTAAGTTGCAAGATTGACCTCCTCACCCCTGACACCCGTGTTCATACGCTCATATTTGTAAACCACCTGTTGCTCACTGACCCCTGGTCTAAATTGGAGTCAGAGGGTAAAAGAGCATTTGCTGAAACAGTTCAACAATTTTGGAAAAGGTACCTCTGCTTAATCTTTGAAATTTTAAAAATAATTAAGAAATAATAAAAAATTAAAAATAATTTTTTTAATGCGAAATTAAATGTCATCTTCAGTTTTGCTGTCAGTTTTTGCAAGGATAATTTTCACTCTGTTCATTATTTTTTTTATGTTGATGTCTGGATCATGGAATGGACAGTTATCCTGAACAGAGACAGTGGAAAAGGTTTAAAAATGTACCGGACAGCACCACTTACAGCGGGCCAGATCATGCCTGCGTACGAATCCAGAGCTTCTTGGATGATGATCTCCTGGTTGACATAGTTGTACACCTCTTTTCCTGCTCTGTAGAAAAAACGGGGAGTCCAGGCTGTTTTTTGTTGCTCATCAGCTGAATCTTTTGTCTTTATATGACCTGAAAGATATAAAAGCCACGCTCCAAAATCTAAATATTTTCTCCTTTTGTTTTAAACGTAAGCCATGGTGTTATTATCACCTTTTTCAACCTCTTTGTCTGCCTCATCCACATCTCCCTCCTCCAGTTCTTTCTCCACTTCACTTTCCATATGGTGGGTTTCCTCCACAAAGGCTGTGGCCAAATATCCACAAAAAACTTTTTTTCCTTTCTGACAGACAGATAATATGAGTTAGGACTGTGACTGTGTATAAAAAATGTCAAATTGGATTTGATTAAATGGATACAGACACAGGATTAGCTAGAAAGACAAAGATGGTTCAAATTAGGACATACATAGTTTTTGTGGTATACATTGATTTCATATGATCAAATTTGAACTGTTTTGTCCATACACACAACACACTAAACATGAAAAAAATGCCTTTAAAACTTGTTTCAAGTTTAACATACATGACAAGACATATTTGTTCTCAAATGATCAGTCCAACTTATTCTTTTCCCTCTTCTCTATCACAATCTGCCAGATTAATTTGACCTACCTGTTTGTAATGTCCTGTCCACTGAAAGATCTCAAGCGCAGTCCAAGTGCATCCGCAGCCCACAAGAAGCTATAGAGATTCAGCATCCTGCAGGACACTCCCATCATCATCACAAGGGCATGAGGGTATTTTTAGAGCTGTGCCCCCCACACACAAACATAAGCATGATACAGGAGCAGAGCTCACGTAGATTCACACACAAAGAAGGGAGCCAAAAAGGACCGGGAATGAGGGGAATGCCCTGATATCATCAGTCAAGTGTTTTGCTTCCAGGGTGGCTTAGGGACATCTCCTTCGGTGGTCTGGAAACTCAAACCATACATCATACTAAACTTGTAAAAGCCGCCATTTGACAGAGTTTTATTGAGTTCAAGTCAATCTAGAGACTGTATGTTGTGCATCGGTATAACTCATTAGTCTACAAATAGTATCAGGGACACATTAGTGGATATGTCTCTTGGCCAATACATGGTTTGTGCTGGCATGATAGCATCTTGGAATAAAGCCACAAATTGTGTGCGCTATTACTAAACCATGGACAATTTTCATGCCTAATAGCATCATTGTAGTAAAACTTTACAATAATTCATAAAATGTAGTCACTTTAAATTAAATTTGAGAGATGTTACAAGACACTTTATGAGAGATCTGTGTGTTTTAAGGTGACTCATTCGGATAATGAGTAAAATGACAGTGCAGGTGAGGGTCGTAAAAGATTAACAACAACTTTATAACCTTGTTTTGCATTTCAAGCTGTTAAACAAGTCAGTGAGGCTTAACATATGATGTCCCTTTTCAAAGACTGAACATTTCCCAAGCTTTCATTACTCAGTTTGTGCAAATCCTTAATAAATACATTTGTAATAGTGAACTCTTGCTCTCTGCCTCAGGTTAAAGTTTGTTTACCCTTGTATTAATTGCAACTCTGCTCAAAACTAGCTCAGACTTCACTCGTGGGCTAAACTCTGGTGACTGTTGCTGCATACTTCTCCTGATAACTTCAGAAGGGCCTAATCATCCAAAAATACTACTTAAAATTTATGCACATTGCCTGGCAAGTATCCATGTTGTGCTGACTCGCTTGCTTTCCCTGTTATGGTCTCAATGGCTTTAGCAGAGATGGGAGGTAACAGGATCAGGCTGGCATGCAGCTCCCACGTATCAAGCCCCTCAGAAAAGAACCTGGCTGCAGTAACATCAACCTCAAGTAGACCTCCTTCAGTTACAATAAGCATGAAATATCATCCTCATGTCAGGTATCTTTCAAAATCCTTTCAAATCTCTAAATTTGAAATCGTCCTGATTCCTTGGGTGTGTTTTGACATCCTGAATAAAAGCATCTTTATTTGGATAAAAGATGGCAGGTTTTGGCACTATCTCTTAGTGATAGGTGATAGGGAGCAACAGAGTTAGTCTTTGTGTATAAGTCCTTGTCAAATCTTCAGCCGTTGTGCATTTGTTTGTCTTGACAGGGGCAGTGATGTTAACTCCCATCAGCTTAGGTAACCTTGTCTGCTTTCATCAAACTCGTAGCCTCTCCTTTTGTTCGACAGCCAAAGGACAAATGGGCAAAAAGACAAGGCATGACAGGATTTAGAATCGGATTTAATGGGTCACATTAATAGCAAGTGACTTCAACTTACTCTCTCCAAGCCATTTAAACTAACTGGTGAGTTTCCAGAAAATGAAAAGTTTGTTTATGCCACAGTTGTTGGTGATACTGAAGCAGCACACACTGTCCAGTATGGGATGAGATATTTTTCTTGACCTCCTTATCTAGGAAGGTCCAACCAATGCGTAAAAAACAAATATTACACAAACATTAAAACTGTTTACTAGATGCTATAAAAATGTCATACATTTGCTAAATATGGTGGATGAGCCAGTTCAAGCAATGATCACAGGAGTCAAACATTTGTAATGACCAGGCTAAAATGGGATCCTGAACTGTGTCTCTGTGACATTATTTAAAAAAAAAAAAAAGGAGGATCTATGGTTTCTTTCATTAGAATGTATTTTATGTGAAGGCATTACCTTTGATTTAAGAAATAATTGCTTCATTAATTGTTATTATTGATTATTATTGATTCAATGATTATTTCCATTATGACCTTCTTTGCATGAAAAATATAACAATGAATTTTTTTTGTTTTCAAACCAATGTTTTTCCCCTTTTTAGGTACACTCAAGTATAACTTTGTGGTTGACATAAAATAGATTGATATACATTAAAGCATTTAAAAATATATAAATATAACACTGACCAAATCTGTCAGTTTGCAAATGTTGACATTACTGGATGCATCTCTCTTTTAGTTTTCCACATGATTTAGCAAAACATTAGCCTTCTTTACCTGGAAATCTTTTTAACTTTAACTCAAAGGTATTTAAAGGGCAGCTTGAAAAAAGGACACACTCGATGCATTTGTATCCAGTGGTGCCACATGTGATTCATTAGGATAAATAAGAGAGCAGGAAGGTGAGCACCCTGTCATGACACTCTACCTGACTTTTTTACGTTTCCCTTTTAAAATTCCAACCTAGTTCGTATTTCGGTAATACCTCATCTGTGTTAACCTCTTTCTGCGCGCCATCTTGGGAAAATGCCAATTTCAGTATTCCTCTTTGATCTAAATTCGAGAACATCTATGTCGACACAACGTCTAAACACCCACACACTTTTCCAGAGTTTATTAAACACTGCTGAGATTGCAGAGTCCATTCTATTTGGAGAACTTTGTCTGACTGGTCAATCTTTTGTAAACCGATGCTCCTTTTTTGGAATTAAGCGACTGTTGACCACTAGTTGCTCCAAATTCTGCTTGCTTATGGATGAGACCAAAACATGTAAAACACGAAAGCCTTTACTTTGACCCAGTGCGACCCAAACATGGCACACTGTCAGGAGGAGGAGCCGTGGAGTCTGTGGGTGTAAACTGCTTGTTTCAAGAAATGAAAACACAACTAAACTCACTTTACAAGGATTTGACATAATTATAGACATAGTGTAATTAATTTCTCACCATACTTCCAACAGCCTGATGTTGCAAACAATGAAATCTGAGTCACTTTTATCACTGGTTGCCTGATATGTAATATTAAAGCCAAAAGTGATAGACTGCTGTTGATAACTAGAATTTAATCAAACACAAATACATTGTGCCTTCGTCCGTTCAGACGTCGGTGCCTCTGTGGTCCTTGGTCGTCCGGTCCTTCCTCTGGGCTCGGTACAATTTGATACTCAAACTGGGGAGGTCATACAGCTCCTCCAGATGGAAGCGCTGCTGGAAGCGCCCCACAAAGCCGTTCTCTTTGTCCAGTCTGAAACGCATCGCCCAAAGTATCTGCGTGTGTTCCTGGCACAGGTGGTCAAAGGTGTCCATCAGCTCTTCCAGGTAAGGGTGGGCGTACACCACGTCCGCTGCCAGTATGTAGTCGAAATGGTGAGTGGCTCTGGGGAAACGCTGATCCAGCTCCTGACCCCAGGTGAGCTCAGTGATCTGTGGACGGACCGGAGGGGGTGTTGATTTTTACAGTTAGCGTTCACTCATTTGGTCATTGATAATCAACAAAACATGATTAGGGCTGGCTCTGCAACACAAGAATGAATGTAAAACCCACCTGAGGGATGTATTTGCATCGGTCCTTAATGTTGCGCATGACATTGTAACGGAGGTTCCCCAGCACATCTGGTAGATCAGTGGAAGTCACCTTCGCCCCTGGAGAAACAGATTAGGTTGGATTTATCTTATGCGATCCAAGCAGCCAACTAAAGCAGATAAAAATAAAACTGCACCGAATAACTCGTTGGATTTTTCTCTTTACCTAAGAGACTAGACACGATGGTGACCAGCCCAGTCCCAGCTCCCAGTTCAATCACATTTTTGTCTGCCAAGTTGTATTTGTCTTGGTTGGTCTCTAAGAAATGACACAGCACCATTGCCTAAAAGGGGAGGGCAGGGGTACAAGTTAATTTTTAAACATCAATGGTCAAAATCAGGGAGGGGGGGTTGTACAGTAGGCGATGATTCAGATGTACACACGCACTGATGGCCACAGCACAGCTCCATAGATGTCAGTGGACTCTTTGATTCGGATCTCCAGATCAGAGAAAATATATCCCTCCCAGGGCTCGGGACCAAGACGAGATGGATGAAAACATCGGGACATTATGTCTTTGGCGAGTTCGGCGTCCACAGCAGCATCTTCTCTGCCATCTACATGAGAAGAAACATGTTAAAATAAACATTTACAAGATGTGCATCTGCAAGCAATAAGAGCAGAAAATTAAGGACCAACAACACAGGATGTCAAGTTGAGATCTGTGGATTGCGAATGATTGATTATTCCCACATGGAACTGTGTTGTATTTGACCTAATTTGGATTCAGATAATGCATGTTTATGTTCTACATATGTATGCTCCGAGAATCAGATTCAGTCTTCCTATGACGTACTGAGCCCTCGTGGTTTGTGATTCCACGCATGTGCATTGACACCTACAATCCACATTTCAGTTATGCAGAGTTGGTTCAGAGGAAAGGTCAGGAAAGCCCATCGAACGGCAATGCAGGGGATGAATGCTTTGTCTATAAACTCTTTGTCTATAAATGCCGGTTATATCTGTCTCCAAATAAATCTGTCAATACAAAAGCAGATCTATGATGACACAATTACTTCCTTTATCAGGCTTTTCAGTGGATTTAGATATTTATTCATGCGTACTGCCTCAACACTGCAACTCTAAACTCTCACCTTGTTTGGTCTCGGTGTCCTGTGAGGGAATATTGGACTGCTCAGTGTCCATGTCTGAAGAAGTAAAAGCGGGAGGGCAAGAGTGGAAATCTACCGTACATGAGACAACTTCACCACTTGATTTGAAGCCCTTTAAATCTGGGTCTCAGTGGGATCCTGATCATGACCTGCCAAGTGGTTTGCAGTCATCCTCCATGGCTTCACATTACAAACAAACGAGCGCTCCTTAATTTCTTATCCAACAATCCCATACCATGCCACAGCTACTGGCAGCAGTTCCAGCTCTCTTTGGTCGTGTCGTAACACCTAGAATTGACAGGCAGCACCAGCTGCCTAACCCGGCTGGGGGAGGGGGGGGAGCTGCGTGTTTAAAAGGACTGGAAACAGAACAAAAAATCCATTTGTGGCCTCCAGAACATTTTTCTAGAGTTAAAAATGCAGATATGTCTGGATTTCCTGTTGATTGATAGCATGTAAGGCTTCTTTCTTGTTCTCACAGATCATGCAGTAAAACAAATGAGAAGTAGCAGATGTTTTATGTGCCTTAAGGATTTTTATTTAGAAATTTTTTATTCAGAAAAAAATATATTTTCTGTCCCATCTTTTCCAAAATTCACGAGTATGACCATAAATAAAAAACATCATGGACACATTGGAGTGTGTTTCACATTGAATTTTTAAGTCTATGTGGTTTTCACAGCTTCTTGCCCCTTCCTCTTCCTCTCGTGCTCCCTCTTCCTCTGGTGGCCTTTGTGCCACGGCCTCGTCGGCTGCCCTCGAACACGGATCGGGCCGTGACCATGGCAACTCCCCTTCCATCATCACTGTCCTCGCCCGAGCTGCTGCTGGTGTTGCTGTTGTTCCGCCCGGCCCTCTGAGGGAGAGCTTTTCCAGAGGGAGCCTGCGGAGCAGCGGAGCTGACCTCCATTAGGGGAAATTCATCCATAGCCTCCGGAGCGAGAAACCCCCCGCCTGACAAAGGCCTCTCCTCGCTCTGCCGTCCCTCACTGTTCTTCAGAGCTTCTCTCCTGGATTTGGATGGGGAAGGCGTTTCCTCCTCGCTGTCTTCATCCTCTCCTCCTTCCCTCTCCTTCCTCTTTAAGCAGGTGACGGCTCGACGGAGGCGCTGGCTGCGGATGGCCTGCTTCTCTTGTTGTTCCATGCGAAAGAACGAGTCTATCCGCAGCTGAGTCTGACCCCAAACGGAGAGACGAAAAGCTTATTTACAAGGGCAATGACTTTTTGAAACACACACAACAGATCTGGAAACACTCAAGGGAGACGTGAAAGATTTAGGTGCTCACACATTTTCATCATTCATTGTTCTCTGCTTGCCCTCTCTCTTCGGCATGTTGGCATCTTTACATTCATTTCTTAATAAGCATTCAAAATGGAAGATTTGTTTTGGTTTGTCACTTTTGTAATCCAGTGGCTCAAATCAGTAAATTCAGTCAGTAAAAGGCTCAGCTGTACTATGTTTAAAACCCATCAGTAATGTCAAGGCTGGGAGCAGCTTTGGACAGGGGCTGGTTAAGAACCTCTTGTTACCTGTTGGCTGTTGAGCTGTTTCATCACAGGCTGAAGAGTCTCCTCCGTCTTCCGACTGCTCCATCCAAAACGACTCAGGCAGAATGTGAAGGAGTGGTTGAGGAGACTTAACTTACGTTCTTACAAACAGACTCCAAAACATTTCAGGCCACGTAACGGAAGGATATTCTTTAATCATGTCGAGTTGAGGGCGCCCCCAGCTGAAGGAGCTCTCCGACTGATCGACGGCGGGCTGCAGGTATGCCTGAGCGACGGCAGGGTTCGGGAAACCGGGCTGAAGTTTCAAGTCCCTGAGTTTCTTCTTAACCTTGGTATCCCGGGGATCAGCCACCAGCCGCTTTTTCTCCTGAGCCTGTAACCACCACGTACTACCAGGAAGGACCAAAGACCCGGCAGACATTAGCAGGAATTCATAAGCAGAAATAATGAATGCTTAATCTTACACAGTTTATAGCCATTAAAACTAATTTAAAGATAATATATATACATATATATGTGTCTGTGTGTTTTAAAGAGAAGAAACTAATTGCTATGATAATGCAAGGATTTCATACTCATTCCATAAAAGCAAAGAAACATGCTACAGTGACAATAACCACAAAGCCTCAATTGATGCACCTCAACTGTACGAGAGGCTCCAAGCCTAGCCCTGGAAACTCATTCAGTATCTCCATTCCAGTTACGTATCCAACTCCCGGCACGCCTTCTGTGTAGTCGCTTCCGAGCAGATAAGCCAGATTTATCATTTTAGTCCTGTCCAAACCTGAAAAAGAGGCGTGACATTAAAGTATGAAAACAAATATGTCACCTTCATTAAGAAATACATCCTTGCTGCTTATTGATCATCATATATGGGCGATGTTAGCTTAAACTCCTGTTTTTGTTGAGTTATTTATTGAGTTTGCCCCCAGGAAGACAGAGACCACCTGCAGTCTCCACAGTGTGAATGAAAAGTAACCTTTCCTATAGACACCTCGGAAATGATCTTATCTATTCATGTTTGAATACAGCCACTGACCCAGCTGGTTCTGCAGGTCGCTGTACTGGTAGTGCTCGACGTATTTGTTCTGGCTGAAAAAGTTCCTGTACACGTGTCGCCCCCCGAACAGCCACACGTCCGAGTCGTCTGTGATGGTGCCGTTGGTCTGGTCGGCCCGGTCCAGAGCCGCGCACTGAGCCTCCGCCTCCATGGGAGCCACCAGGAACGGGACGCCGAACAGTCGCAGCAGCTCCTTGTGTCGACGCGGTTCATTTAAATTATTTCATTTACGCCATATTATCGTAATCAAAAAAACTAACAGTGCACCAACAATTGTAATGTTCCAACTCTACTTTTGTAAAAGCCTTTGCAGATCTGTCTGTAACTTTATGAGAGAAAATCCTCAGTCTAAAACAGTCTAAAAAGTTCTTTTTAGACTGTTATCAAAACAGCTGATAGGCTTGTGATGTGTGCATGATGCAAATGCTGCTGTGTAGATTAACTGTCTAGATGGCCAAATCTACGTCACCACTCTGAGAATGCTTGCCTGATGCATGAAATGTAACAAACCCCCTACCCAAATAGTAATAGTTGATGTTGATTTGTGGAGCAGGCTGATACGAAGGTATGTGAGGCCATCTGCAGGAGTCGGTGCTTGCCGATGTGATTTTATGGTTTGGTTTGACTCACCTGGCTTTCCAGGTACATCTGCCCAGTCACTGTGTTGGCCATCCTCTCCTGTTGCTGCCTCTGCTCCTTCAGGTTGTTCTGCTCCAACTCCAGAGAGCTCTCCAGAGCCTCCAGCTCCTCCTGCAGTGAGAAACACACACACACACACACTCTGGTACAACTCCGTTTGCCTTTAAAACGCTGAAAAGCGGCGCAGTTGCTCAGGTCTTACAGCTTTAGTGGGTATATACTGACCGTGTCGAGGTGGTCCCATTCGCTGGCGGCTGGCGCTGCTCCGGGTTCAACGTTTGTCTCCTCCTTTTTTTTCTCGTTCTCTTCATTTGAGCTCTCATCGTCTTCCTCCTCTTCGGAGTTTAGTACAACAGCTGCCACATTTCTCCCTTGTTCCTCTGCCTTTGTTCCATCTTTACAGACCTCACCGGTAGGCCTGTCCTCCCCCGTTATTACAGCCGAATCCTCTGCATCTTCTTTTATGGACTCCTCCTCAGAGACCTCGATAAAGCCCTCTTACAAAAAAAAAATAGGAAAAATAATTAACATAGCCCAATTAAACAAATGATAAAAGCCACTTGAGGCTGATTACTTTACCTTCTGACTCGCTTTCCTCGCTAATCTCTGACTTCATATCGCTTTCTTTTGTTTCTTCCTGATTTTTGGGGGGCTCGTCTCCCCGCTGCTCACAGACTACAGGATGAACGCCAGTCTCAGAGCGCCCGGGTTTCCCATATGGTGGAGGAAAAATACTGGTGGCCGACGTGCTCTGACGGGGCGGCGCGGGTGGCGGGTTTCCTGGCTCTTCCTGCCTCCCCGTTTGTGTCAGGCGCTCCTGTTCTGACCTCATCTCTGTGTTGGAATTTCGTTGCAGTGCCGCGGACCGGAGTGCTTTATTCCTCTGTCTGATGATTTCCTCCATCTCATCCTCAGAACTACTAGCAAGCAAACTGTCTTTCTGTCTGTCGTGTAAACTTTGGGCCGTCACATTAGGCATTAACTCATATTTTTCTTTGCGTGAGGGTTGTGCCTCGTCCTCAGAGGAGCTGATGACCACTTGTGGTGCCTTAGGATGTAGATTTTCCTGCCGCTCGATGCTTGAGCTCCTCGCACCGTCCTCCTCCTCAGTTAGGGCTTGCTGGATTGCCAGGAGCGTACGTGGGGACACTCGGCCGTCGCTCCTGTCTCGGCCCGCCTTCTCCTCATCTGAGCTGTCGTTCATGGCAGCCTGGATGGCATCGAGTGTCCGCGGCGAGGGCGGAGGCGTGCCTTCCCGAGACGGTCTGGACGCAGAAGGTTTGGCGTCTTCTGAGGGAGCGGCTTGAACTTCCTCTTCCTCCTCGCCGACGGGCCGCCACAGGGGCTCGGGTTTATCCGCCTTTCCTTTCCTGCAGCCTGACAACGAGCTCCCCGACCAGGGGGCAGCGGCAGGTCGGCTTTCCGGGTTCACCTCTTTCTTCTTGGACCCTACGAGGGCAAAACCAAGAGAGTATCGTACACGAGTTCAAAGAGGTGGCTGCATTTCATAATATGAAATGTAGTTTGAAGACCAAATTTTTAGACTAACAACACCTAGAGCCAAAAATGAACAAACTGACCCAAGAGTTGAAAGCAGGTTATGCCCACAGTCGATTCGGCCTCACCTTTGATGAGGATATAATGCGAGTTGTCTTCTGAAACCAGTCGATTGGATTCCACGCTGTGACCCTGCTGGTCGTCGCCCGGCTGGCAGAGCTCCGGGGCGCCGCCGGCGCTGCGCTGGCTCATCTCTTTCTCAACTCCCTCCAGACGCTGGTTCAGTCGGTTCCGCTGGAGCAGACCGGCCAGCTGGTACTGAGAAAAGTCTCCTGAACCCTGCAAGAGGCAAAGAGAGCGTCAGTGCTGGAAAAAAAGCAGAAGAAATTAGAAGAAATTAGTGTAGATTGGTCTGATCTTTACTTCTGGGGGCCTGTAGAACATGGTCCGACGTCTTTTGGAAAACTCTTTCATTTCTTTGAGTATCTCATGTTTCATCTCAGGAGGCAGGTTGGCAAACTCCTCTGAGTTGATGTCCACTGAGTTTGGGTCTTCATAAAATTCTTCCTGAAACATAAGAAGCGATCGGACATCAAATGAGTTACCAAAGCAAATATGGAACATATGCATAGCAACATCTGTAAACGCATTTCATACTGGTTTGTATAGTTTTATTTAAAAAACAAAATTAACATTTTTCACTGTCTTATAACAACAGGTTATACAAAAGAAAAGAAAAAAACGTTTATCCAACAAAAAAACTAAAAACCTATTGAAAATGCAAGCTTTGTCATGTTATTGTTTGTTGGCAATGACATTTTTTGTATTTGAACTGTCATTCTTAAAGCACCTGAGAACATTGCAACATCTGTTCAGGAAAGAAAAAGCAATCCATTAAGTAAGACTTTACCCATCCCTAACTTAAATAAATGATTTTGATTAATTTTATTTTCAATGGAAAATGTCTGTGAAGTAAAGAAAAACTGGCATCACATTTAAGATTGAGCAACACACCTTTAAAAGATTATCACTGATCACTTGTATCTTAGATTTTTTTTCATTTAATGCAAGGTTGTTTGTGGATTTTAAAAAAAAAGTCATATCTAAACATCAACACAAATAATTCAAATAGTAGAAATGTTACATAAGTTTATGGTTCTAAGCAAGTGATAATTTTACCTGATACGTATGGAAACTTGCAGCCACTTCCTCACTTTCTTTTTCCTCCTCGTCCTCTGAGCTGGAAAAGGATAATAACAACCTGAAGCGATTCTATTTACTGTATTAAAGCTGAAAAAGAATTCAAATCAGCAAAAATACCTAGTCTAGTGTCTAAATTACTCTGCATAATCAAAACAACACAATCTCTGATTAAAACTCTAAATCTCTGAAAACCATGTTTTTACTTATCAAGCCTCTGACCTGCTCCTTTCTTTCTCCTCTGCAGGTGGAAGTGCTGGTAGAACATACAAATCATCCACCTCATTTCTCCTCACACTGGAGAGGCTGGGGAGTGGATCTTTGCTGCAAAAAAGAAGATGCATATGGATTCAAAACAATTTGAGACAACCACTCAAACGGAAGGCAGACTTAAAAAATAGACTTTTAAGAGGACTGAGACAGGGTGAAAACAGTTATTTAATATCAAAGTTACTTTCAATCTCAGCTTACCTCTGATCCCCAAGGGCAGCTTTAATAGCTTGTCTTTTCAGGAATGTCTTAAGAAGTTTCTCATTTGTTTGCTTGGACTCACGGGTCAGCTCCTCCTTCCTCTGCCTTCTCAGAGCCTGTAGGACCAGAGCTGGTTCTGTGAAATTACAGAATTTTTGGTAATTGCAGCCTTGTAATCTGTAGAGAACTTACCAGGGTCTGCTTCTTGAGCAGCGGGGCGTCTCCATCAAACACAAAAACTGGCCTGATGCGGAAGAAGAGCAGCTTACAGATGCGGTTAAAGAGGGTTAGGAGGTGGGCGTTCTGGACACTGTTGCCTTCACGATCTCTCACCCCTTTCACTGCCTGGTTCAGCCATATACTGATGTCTGGGAGTGTCTGGTTAAAGCTACTATTAACACCAATCAATATCAACAATGCATTTCAAAGATGGGATAAATACAGCATTCCTTGCATACGTCAAAATTAGGATACCAACAGCAAGGATCTTTCCCTCGAGTGTCTCGGGGTTGATGGGCTTCCCTGTGCTCTCCAGCAGCCTCCACAGTCCGTGCACTCCCATGATCTCAACAACAACCGTTCAATTCTCACACAAAATACACGATTCAAGCTCAATGTGCTGGACTGAAAGGGGCATTTATCCCAAAACCGCTGGAACAGAACAAAGAAACAGTGCCGATAGTCGTTTTTATTGTGATTGCAACTGTATTTTGGATCCGTAGAGAAAATATCGAGAAACCTCGAAGGTTCCGACACGTGTCTTCATTAGTTTTCCGATCCAGAACCAGCACAATACTTTAATCTCTGCTGAAATGGTCAGGTTTTTCTACAACTGTGTTTCTTTTTTATAGACTCAAACTTGAAAGTTAATATCATTCATATTTAGGTGTGAGTGTCGAAGTATTACTTATTTTTTAAATATTTATAATATTTTCCTACGGTGAGGGGAAATATGGGGAAAATATAGTTGGTGTCTAGATTGAAAGTTTTCCTGAGAGTCGGGTAAACATTGAGAGGCCAACTGTGTCCGGTGGAAACAAGAGACGGACAGCTGCTTCCGGCGTAATAACCGAAGAAGACGCTTCTCTGCCCGGTGTTATGCTTTATTCTGTCACTGTGTTAACTTGCGAGCTTTGTGTTGGTGGACTTTTGCGACCATAGACATATATACATAGACGTATATACATAGTATTTATATTTGTGTCGGGGGCTACTGGTAGGGGATGGCGAGTGCCAACATACAAAATAATCTGAGCAAAATTATTCTTTTCCAAGGTTTTCAATTTGCACAGCCACACAGACTGCAATTGTATAGCTGTGTATATATATTTATGGGACGTGCGGTCAGGGGAGGCAGAGCCTCACCGGTCATCATCACAAGACAAAACATACTATAACATATTAATATTTTACTCCCCCTTGGAGTCAATGGACCAACAGGCTCAACGCGGCGTCTACATATATATGTCTATGTTTGCTACGACAGCTGTTGTCAAACCGGAAGAAGCCTCTTAGTTGTCCTGATTAATGCCCTGTTGCTCATGTCTAATCAAAAGCCCAATGTTTGCATATTTGAATGTAGAATTTTGTGGTCAGGGAGAAATTCTAAGATATTCTGTTCAAGAGAATATCTAGAAACAGTCCCCCCAAAAGTGGAACAATTTTAGTGGAAGATACAAAGGTAGCGACAGAAGGGCTGAATATACCTCCATAATCTTGGGTAAGCAAAGACTTTAATTCAAGCTCGCCCGTTACTGAAACAACACGGGTTAACTGAATATTTATGTGGGACTATTTTGTTTGACCAGACTCCATATTGCAGTAAAACATACAGGCGTTGGGATTTTGGTGGGACACAAAAAATATGGCATTGACCCGGGCAGCTAAGGGCCTCTCTCGGTTTCCAAACAGCTGCCTCAGCTAACAGCAACCAAAGACGCTTTTAGCAGAAGCTCGCCTGTAAACACAGTCACAGGTTGAGACGGAACACCGGTAGGTTAACGAATACAATGTATTTCAGTTGTTAGATGTAATCCACACTGGACACCGAAGGGTCATTTGTTAAATGATGATTTTAGCATTAATGTATGCTGCCACTGTATATGACATTTTTAACTGTTAATTCCGTTCAACGTTGTAAAAATACCAAATACTAGCAAGTTAGCTCACGTGCTAGCAACCGTTATCGTGTATTCATATCAGCAATGGGGTGTAAACCTTGACTTCTGACCGACGGCTTTCTTTGATTTCATCGATCACTGTCATAAACTCAGAATGTTCTGAACCTTTACAGCAAAGTGCTTTGTCTAATTTTTTTTTTTTTTTTTTTTTTTACAACAGGACGTAGAGTGATCGTGGTTTATTCCAAACTTTCTTTTCGTCCATAGCCTCCACCATGACTGCTGCTGTAAGAGGTACGCGTTGTTTTCTACCTTTTTTTTGGTCTCTTCACTAAATAGATAAATGGTCGTTGGTGGTTATTCTTCAAGTGTTTATCTGCTGGAATAAACATGTTACAAAGTTAGTTATAACGTTATGCCAATGAGTTAAGCTTTCCTTCATTGTCTTTGAAAGGTTTCTATAGTTGTTATAAAGCAGTCCAAGTGGATAGGTTTACTGGTACTATTTAACTGTTTGATCCAAGCTAACAGTGTTATCAGATAATAAAGTTACTGGTGGTTTTATGCACACATTCCTATTCTCAATTTGATCAGCTACATCCCATGACAAGTGTTATAACACAAAACCTAGGTGTTTTCACACAAATGTTTAGAAATGGAAGAGTTACCCGCATAGCAGAATCTAACAGAGGTAAAGAAAATTTTGAAAAAATAACATTGGCTTTAATAAGAGCACAGCATGAGGCTGTTTACGGCTCCATCCACTGAGCCATACAAGTGTTAATGCTACCGTTCTCATGTCTTCCAGATTCTGGCAATGTGTCTATCCGAAGTGCTGGCGATGGCATGGAAACGGAAAAACCGCCATCAGTTCTAGAGATTATCACCGACACACTGCCACCCGGTCCATCTGAAGCTAACCTCCTCAAGGTAACTAGTCCAAAGCACAGCCCAAAGTCCCACCGTGCCGCTAGCCCAGCTGCCCCCCAGCCCATTGGAGTGCTTCACTTGGGCAAAGTAAGCCGGGAGTCCTGCACAGAGGTGGAGGCTGTGAGGATTATTGTGCCGCGTGCTGCCATCACTCGGAGCAGCCGCACTTGTCCCGCCGAAGGGAAAGGAGAGGCAGGGCAGCAGGCTGAGGAGCAGGGCTCTCCTCCACTGCTGGTGGTGGAGGACTGGAGAGTACAGCTGGACAAGCTGCAGAACTCTGAGAGAAGGCTTTTGCAGGACAAAGAAGGCCTTTCTAATCAGCTCCGTGTGCAGACAGAGGTAAGACTGCGTTGAATGGACAATATAATGGATTATTTTTAGGCAAAAGTATAGCAAAAGTGCTCTGAATAGAGCTTTAATGGATTTTTCTCAATCGTGTGCCAGGTGAACCGGGAGCTAAAGAAACTGCTGGTGGCTTCTGTGGGCGATGACCTTCAGTATCATTTTGAGCGTATGGCTCGAGAGAAAAACCAGCTGATTTTGGAAAACGAGGCTCTGGGCCGTTGTCTGGCCCACACTGCCGAGCAGCTGGAGCGGATGAGCATCCAGTGCGACGTCTGGAGAAGCAAGTTCCTGGCCAGCAGGTCTGAAAATCTCCAAACTAACGTTTTTATTTATCAATGGATGTCAGAGGTGTGGGAAAGATGGCAATGCATGATTTCACAGCACCATTGGAGGCTCCCGTCAGTCTCAGTTTTTCACGATCCTTTGTCTCTCTGTTATTTCCACAAACATCTCCTCAGAGTCATGGCAGAGGAGCTGACAAATGCCAGAGCAGCTCTGCAGAGACAGACCAGAGAAGCACAAGGAGCGATTCAGGACTTACTGCTGGAGAGAGAGGAGTTCTCCAGAGACATGATGCTCACACACAGGTAAGATTATCTTTGGTCTGTAATTAATGATAATCCAATAATAATAGCGGCAGAAAAGCATTCAGGAATACAGAGGTGACGGCTGGGTCAAAGCAGAGCCACTATGGCTTTAGTGGTGATCTTTGCAACTTCAAAGCCACATTTAAAAACAGGAAGCAATAGGCAGGCTCAATTTAAAGGCCGAAGCCAAAGGTCCTCTCAGCATTTGCTATTTCTTGACTTTGTGTTACCAGATCCTTGGAGCAGCTCCTGGTGTCTCTGCAGTGGGGCAGGCAGCAGACATACTACCCCAGCGCACAGCCCCTTAGCACGGGAGAACTGGCCGCAGCCAATCACAGGCTAGCAGACGCCATCAACTCCCACCTGCTGGGGGACAGCAGTGGCGGCGGCAGCGTGGGGAGGGGGGGCGGTGCCACGGCCGAGCAGATCTGCAGCACGCCGGCCGAGAAGATGGCTGAGAAGGTACCAGCTCCATCTCCCCGCCCACATCGTAACACATCTTTATTGTTCAAACTTCTACGAATTCATGGTTTGAAATGTCTTCTCTTGCAGGTGCTTAAGATCTTAGATCCCATCTCTTGCTCCGAGACGAAGGCAAATACGCCTCTCAGTGATTCCACTCCCTCAAACTTCCTCAGCAGTAAGAAGAGCATCGGCAGGTTCCACCCGTACACCCGCTATGAGAACATTACATTTAACTGCTGCGAGCGCTGTTCGGGAGACATCCTGGTGCTGTAGGGCCGAGGGAAGCCGGATGCTCTGTGTGCCCGATTAAAGGACTCAAAAGACACACAAGCTGTTAGTGACGCCTTTTGTCAACAGCAACATTCGGCTTGTCACGAGCTTGACCTTTGAACATTTTCCAAATCCATCACCCTGCTTTTTATTTAATCTTTTGAGAAAAGAGAGGTAACCGAGTTGTTTGTTCAGGGATCATGATTAAACAGATATAGAAAAAAATGATACATTTCAGACCTACTGTAGCCTAGTTTGATGTTTGGCTGATCATGTTCCTCACTGCAAGTCAAAAGTGAAACAGTTTACATCAGCCAGACTCTAAAGTTTAGCTAGGAGGCCTCTTCTACCGAGGAGGGTCCATTTTCTCTGTGCAATGGTGCTTTCAAAATCTGAAAGATTTGATTAATATGCTGTGTTTCATAAAAGTTACGATTTCAAATGCTGCGACGACTTTGTTATAATAGACATTCAGTATTCTGGAAGAGGACAGATGGTACTGCAGCCATCATCATTATGTGGTGTTATTGTATTATAAAACCCAGATTATTGGATTTTTCTTTTACCTTTAATTTATTTAACTATAAATCTGTTTTTGTTTTTAGAATATATTATGAAGTACATGCTGTTTTGTGATTTCTGTTTTTTTAAAAGGTCTTTATAAACAAAGTTTGTTTCGCCTGTATGGAATAATTGAATTGTATCATTCACAGTGAAAGCTTTTATTTAAACTGTTCATACATGTTCTGTTTTCCCATCTGAGACTAAAATAAAGACCAAAGAATTTTCTTCTCTTTCTGAATAAAGTTAGTTCTTGTCATCTGAACCCCTGCATCAAAACTGAAAGAATCTTTAACCTTAATATCATTGCTTGTCAGGTTTTCCCCACCATACGTGGTTCTTTCGGTCAGTCATCACACCACCACATCTTCTGTTTGCCTGAATTTTTCCTTGCTTCAATGTTGTTTTTAAATGACGTCCGTACTTTGGTTGTGGCTGCTTTTTCTCTCGTACTCGCCTGCATAGACACTCTGTCTCTGCCGCTAAAGCCAGACTCTCTGCTGGGTTTGTGAAGACTCTCGCTCTTAAATGTCCGTTCAGTGATTCTTTCTCCAGACCTCGACGACCCATAACCGTCCTGGGCCGATCTTCCATGATGCGCATGGCCTCTGGTTTTGTCAGTTGCACTCTCCGTTCGTTTCAGCTGTTGGTGGAAGCCATCATGCTTCCTCTTCGGCACAAACTGTAGCGCCTCCTCCCATTTCCCGGTATCCTTAATGGTGAGCATGATGCGGATCATCTGGTCCAGAGTCAGATTTTTGGCTCCCACATCCCAGTGAAGATACTCGTCCAGTGGTAAACGGGCGGTGGCGAGTTTCAGACGTTTGGCGTTGGCCAGTGACAAACCTGACTGGATGGAACGGTCCACCAGAGCTCCGATGATGTAGACCTTAGAGTGGTCAAAGGTGCGGAGGACGTTGGGGGAGTCTGCGGTGAGATAGACCAGCTGTTCCCTGGGGAAAAGGTCAACATGCTGGCGGTCCGAGTCGGTGACGAAAAGGCGCTCCCAGGTCTCTGCGCCGTAGCGTTTGAGAAGTTCCTGCTTGTAGGGCCCGTCGGGCTGAAGGTTGCAAAAGTGGAGGTGGAAGGGCTCGGTGGCACGCCGGTTCCAGCCCTCCACCTCCAGCAGCTGGGACACTGTGTTGTCGATCTCTCGCTTGGTCATGTTGGAGTCGTAGCTCATGTCAAATACAAGTGGCTGACCGAACACCATGGCCTGGGCGCTTCTCCAGGCCAGCAGCTTGTCCTGAGTACGGTCCCAAAACTGGAGAAACGGAGTGTTTTTTAATTTGTTTCCTTTACGATCATCCCAATCCTCCTCCGTGCTGTCCAGTCCCCTCTGCTCCATCAGTGAGGCCTCCCTTTCAGCCCGCCTCTTCTGCTGCTTCTCCTTGCGGGACCGTTTGTGGCCCTCTTTGATAGCCAGAAACTTCAGGTACTTTTTCCTGGCTGACTTGGTGGCTAGGTTTGCCAACGTCTGAACCTCCTCCTCTGTCATCTCTTGCGGAACCAGTTTCCCTGCTTGCCGCCACATTAAAACTAGTTCACGTGTTGCTTCAAGTGAAGAACTTTCTTTTGAATCGCCGCCTGTTTCTTTCATGTCTTCTTCTTCATCACTTCCCGTCACTTCGTTGCTAACTTGTTGTTCCGGGAATCTAGCTTGGGATCTCATGATTGACTTCCATCCGTCCAGATCGAACATTTCTTTTCCCTCTCTTTCATCTGCCTCCGTTTGAAGTGCATCTTTCCTTACAGAGCTCTCCTCACTGAAGTGGCGAGCAAGCAGGGTTGTTTGGTCAAGTCTGACCCTGTTAACCCGTAGGAAAGGGTTCACTTGCCTCTTGGATGTCACAAAGTGATTGCTCTTCCATACTGAATTCAAACATTTTCTTGCGACGAGCCGTAACATTGTAAATAAATAACATTAAACTGCTCCTTCACTTGAGGTGCCAACGGACGACTGACACTTCCTATGTATGGAAAACACAACGGAAACGGAACAAATCTCACGACGAAGGCGATACTCCAGGTTAATCCCGTCGTAGTTAAAATCAGATTACCACACGTGGCACCTGCAGTTTGTTAGATGTCCCAAATAATAGCCATGTTGAGCCTACATGTGCCTGATTTGTCAAAAATATAGGGAAGGTCACGTTGTTACACTGTGTTACAACATCATATGTCGTACTAGAAACATAAAAATGGAAAGGCTAAAATAAAATCCTTCCCTCATAACATAAAAGTTGGATTTTTCCTTACGTGGCAATGCATATTAGGATTTGTGTATCCAACGTTTATGTAACCTTTAGGAAAATATATAGGTTTTTAGAGGAAGCTTTATGATGTTGCGCAGCAATAAATGACGTGACTTCCTCCTGTTAGTAAAACAACTGAAGCTATCCCGCTAGCCTCAAAGATGAGTTTGTTTTTGCCCAAATTAGCGTGCAAAAAAGATATAGACGAGGTTATAAAAGGAGTCGCAGAAAAGGTCGTTGTTCTAAGGTTTGGAAGAGATGATGACTTAGTTTGTCTCCGGCTTGATGAGATTGTAAGTAGGATGTTGATGTGAAAATAAATGATAACTCAATGGCTGAAACGTAGTAAGTACTTCTGATTTCGAGAACCTTTCCACTTTATCTTTTTTACAGTTGTCAAAAACGGCCCACGACTTGAGTAACATGGCGTCGATCTATATCGTTGATGTGGACAAAGCTCCAATTTACACAAGATACTTTGACATCAGCTACATCCCCTCAACTGTTTTCTTTTTCAACGGACAGCACATGAAAGTGGATTATGGGTAAGTGGTTTATGAACCTTTTAACAGTTAACATAGTCCCACAAAGAACCTTAAATAAACTCAAGACTCTATATAGATTGACAAACAGGTTTAATGTCTGCTGTTACGGATTCATAAAATCATTGAAGACATAACAGGACACCCTAAGACATCCAAATCTGTCCTCCAGAGCTCATGTGAATATGCTGACTTGAGCTAATTTAATGAACCAATCATTGTGTATCAACGTACACATACAGGAAACTATGAAGGTGCCACACACACCAAACAGTGTAATCATATATGGCAGATAATGAATGATTGTGTATTGTTTATATTTCAGCTCCCCTGATCACACTAAGTTTGTCGGCAGCTTCAAAACCAAGCAAGACTTTATGGATTTGATTGAGGTGATTTACAGAGGAGCCATGCGAGGGAAAATGATTGTCCAGAGTCCCATCGACCCTCAGAATATTCCCAAATATGATCTCCTCTACCATGGCATTTAAAATCGCCCTTCAACTTTGGGAACTTGCATCTCAAAGGACTTTTGAGTGTGACGGACTATGGTGAATTTACAGAAATACCTTTGAAATTAAGCCATTGAAAGGTTCATTAAAGAAAAGAGAAATACTTTAGTGTCTCACATTTTGATATTTCTTTAATGTTGTCTTTCCCATACCAAACGTTCGTTGTCTTTTTTCTTTCTGCATCTGTGCGGTATATTTTGATAAATTCAGAACAAAACCTTGATAAGATTTTTTATGAGGGGGATGGAGTGAAAATGTCCAGAGCCATTTGATGTTTCCCATGGAAAACAGCCGCGGGTCTGCAACGACTGAATTTTATTTTATTGCTGTCAAATGTATGTGCTATGCTACTATAATAAACTTTGACTACAAAACGTTCTTTTTTTCTGTTTTTCTCTATTTCCAGTGGCTGTGCACCCACATAGCTTAAACTATTCAACAACATGGTCTTATTTTCAAATCCAAGCTGTTTGGTTGTTTATCTATTAGTGTAACCAACTGATAAATTCTAACTTGATAAATAGCAAGTGGCTCCTCTGTAAAACACAGCAGCTCCCTTCACCTGTGTTTTACACATGTATACACTTTCAACATAGATACTTGTTCCTTTAAATCAGTTGGAACTTTAACCTGTACCTAAAAACACCAACATTGTGTTTGATTTTTCTCAGTTGTGATGTGTAAGCACGTCGTATAAATTATTTTATGGTTAATTTTGATCTTATTGGACACAATCGGATTGCTGTGATTTGAATGAGGAAGACCAATAAAACCTTCGATTACATTTACAGAATAGATCAATCGTCGCTACATTCTGGAGAAGTTGCACAATAGATTTGTAGCAAAATTTGGAACTATTTCCTGATAAAGAAACTAGCGGATGTAACAATGACTCTTAGTGTGAATTGCCACAAACCGGAAGTGACTTGTCTAAAGCCGGAACTACAATTATGGCTGCGACCTTGTTCAGAACATGGTGTTAACAATATTCATAAGCCTGCTAACCTTAAACTTGTTTATGAACCCAAAGTAGTTACGATAGGTGTTTGTAGTGTTCATTTAACCGCTGAAATGATGGCGTCCCTTTTTAAGTCTGCACTCGGCAGACTGACAGGAATTTGTAGAGCTCACGGTCAGCAGCAAGGTAACATGCTTACGTTACATTTACAGGAGATGTAGGCTAACCACAAATAGATTTTCATTAGAGATAATACAGCTACATTTCACTCGAAAATACGTTTACTTACACAACTCAGATCCTGTTCAGATCCAGTGTTGCTAGTTTAATATATGGTTAACAATACATAGAGTGAGCAGCATAAAGATTCAGAATTAACTGCTAGAAGTATGAATTCCTTTCACAGGGACGTAGAGGAGTTAACAATTTGGCAGAAAGATAGGCTGATTTTCCAGTCACTGTCATTAACTGAGACAATGCTCAAAGAGTAGGACTTCTATCAGGACTTCTGCTTTGTTTACCGCAAGGTTAAATTTTGCTCTGTTGGATCACCTGCTGCTTTTTCTTCAGATATTTTGCACGGCCACCTGAAGATCCTCACTGCAGGGCTGAAGATGTATGAAATCCCCCCAGACCACAGTGGTAATGAAATACTTCCATACAAGATAACATTTATGTATGCATGCATGTTCAAGAGATGTAGGATGGTCCATGAGGTGCAAAAAACATCACAGTTGGACAAAATCAAAAGTTGAATGCACTCAAAAAAGCAAAAGTTTAGATAAGATAAAAATATTTCACAAAACAAGAATGCTGAACTGCTGAAATCTCAGCAACATAGAAAACCAACAGCCTTAAATAATTCACAGTATTGAATGAATTCATTTTTTAATGATACACATTGAGTTAATCATGAATTGCATCTGGAAAACACGCACAAGTACATTTTAGAAAAGACAAAAAAAGCAGAGAAACACATAAAAATGTTTTTTTTTTTTTTTCTTTCATAAGATGTGTTTTGCATCTCAGGGCTGCTGAAGTAGATAAGGAGACTGAATTAAATTTATTTGATGCATTTTTTTATTTATTCAATTTGTTGTGCTTGTTTTCATCCCCAAAGATGTAGTATTGCCAGAGAAACCCAAACTGAAGTTTCTGAACAAGGTACCTAATTTGAAAAAGGCCAAGAAAGAGGGCAAGAAGCTGCGGGACATCCGGGGCCCTACCAAGGGTGCAAATGCCTTCACATCTGGACAGTTTGCTATTGTGGTGAGGGCATCTATGTCCGCACCGCACCGCTGGCAGTGTTTAAGTTCTGTGCTTGCAGTTTTATTCAATCTTGTATAGTAAGCTTCCTCATATTGCAGATGAAGTACTGCCAGCTCTTAGTATTTCACAGTACATGTGGGGATTTCGAAATGTTTAGACATTTCCTGTTCCTTTTCCTTGTCACATGCAATTATCATTATTATCTTTACAATGCACTCACCATGTTTTGCACCTGTGATTAGAAATGACAACTGAAAGATACTGTTGAATAACAGGATGTGACTCTGAAGTAATCTCTCTTCCCAAATTTAGTTCTTTAAGCACATGTTCTAGCTGCCCTGTGAAAAAGTCGGTGATTAACTTAGAGATTACATTTGACAGTGATTGTCCTCATCCTTTGTGCTCAGGCCATGGGCGGGGGCTACATCCACTGGGGACATTTGGAAATGATGCGTCTAACTATTAACCGCAAGATGGATTCCCGGACAACGTTTGCCCGATGGCGCATCAATGCCCCGTATAAGCCCGTCACACGTAAAGGACTGGGGCAGCGCATGGGCGGGGGTAAAGGAGCCATTGACCACTATGTGACCCCCGTCCGCTACAGGCGTCTAATCGTGGAGGTGGGAGGAAAGGTGGAGCTGGGAGAGGTTGAGCATGTCCTGACTGAAGTAGCCAAGAAGCTGCCTTTCCCAGCTAAGGTGAGGGCTCAGAAACTGTGTGTTTTTGCCATTAGCAGCTTTGATTCATGTTTAAACAGAAAGGCACATAAAAACTCCTTCTTTTTGTTACTTTTTAGTTTTTTTTTTTGTATTAATGAAACATTTTGCGCCTGTTTTGCATGTGTTACAGACATTTTTTGTTTTTGTTATGTCATGAGCAGGTAATGAGCAGAGAGAGCCTAGAAGCCTTCCAAAAAGCGCAGGATGAGTTGGAGCAGAACAACCAAAATCCCTGGACCTTCAAGCGGATAGCCCAAGGAAACATGATGGGTATCAGGAAGGTGCTAAGTCCCTTCGACCTGCACAACCATGGACGCTTTACAGGGAAATTTCACTTCCCAGGGAGGGTGTGAAAGCCCATAACAGACCGTTGTGTTTGTGGTTTCTGACACCGACCACACAGAAGAACTGAAGACACAAACATCATTTTGAAACTGTCTTGACTTATCGATATTGATTTTTTTTTTGTCATTGGGATGTTTTGTTGAAGGGACATTTCTGTCCTTTTTATGTCCATAAAACCCAATAAACAACTTTATGTGATTAACGTAATTATTTTAGCAACTATTGAATGTCATGGTGGTCTTAATGCTTTGGCAGCAAATAAAAATCAAAAGGCATTCAACCTTTTTTCAAGCCCACGCATTAAGATTAGAAGTTACTCTCATGAGAAACTAAATACATTTTATTTGATGCAAACTTTTAAAAACATTGCAGGAACACGTAGTTTAAAAAAACACCTGATCTTATACTGAAGTGCTCTTTTCCCTTAACATAGTATTTCAGAGGTTGCAATGTTTTGCCTAAGCTGAGTGTCCTTTAATAGGACCTTCGATGCGTGTGTTTTAAAACACGTTAGGTAAGTTGTAGTTATTTGTATACGATATACGGTGTCAAGCAGTTTTTTGTTCTGAAGAACCAGGAACCGAACAACTTTATTTTCTTCCGTTTAGTTTCAGAGCAAGGCGCCAGGGCGATTGTTTATGACGCCACAATACGTCATTGGTCAACTGACTCCTGTTGCGCGGCAACGGCACATAACCGGAACCATAGACTTACGATGAAGCCGTTAGTCCGTTGCAAGGATACGTCTACGAGTCTGCCATCTTGGATGTGGCAGAACGCCCCATAAACTAATAAAAGAAAACGGAGTGAACTCCATAAAGCACCTTTCTCCAAAGTGCTTTAAGTTAATATACCTTATTCACCCATTCAACCACACACTAATATATCTGGGAAATAAATAGACAGACAGACAGACAGACATACTTGAAGACATTAGCCAGACTCCAAAATCAGACTATAGAAACGTATTTCAGCGATACGCCGACAGACACCAACAGCCCAGTTTGGGATGGATTGCGCAATCAGAGGTTCAGATCGGCTCCTTGCTGCCGCACATCACGTTTCACCCCGTATTTCAACAGGAAATGTGCAATTTCAGCGATTTTGACAATTAAAATGATCGCAATTAGTCATACATAAAGATCGGCGGACAAATAATAATATGTCATCGTATGTTTTGTCTTGTGAGGATGACCGCACGTCCCATAAATATATATACACAGCTATATAATTGCAGTCTCTGTGGCTGTGCAAGTTGAAAACCTTGGGAAAGAAACATTTTTCTCAGATTATTACGTACGTTGGCACTCGGCATGCCCTACCGGTAGCCCCCTACCGGACCCCGGCACCGGTAGCCCGGTGTCTATTTGGTTGAATCTGCTTTAGTTTAGATTCTCATTGGTTTGTTTTTAGTCATGTGACAAAAACAAGGAAGTGGGCGGGCTACCGCGATACCGCGGTAAAAGACGAAAAACGGAAAACCGGGAATACCGGGAAAACCGGGGAATATCGGGGAAAACGGCCACCGGGGGAGGGGGGCCGGGGCTCCCCAGAGGGGAGACCCGGACCCCCGACCCCGGTTCGATATCACTGTCAGAGTAGACCCGCACCGAACCCCGGTATCGCGGGAGCCCTAGGACGCAGTAGCCCGGTAGCCCCCCCCTCCGGCCCCTGTAGCCCGGTTGCCCGGTAGCGCGGTTGCCCGGTAGCCCCCCCCTCCGGCTCCTTACCTTGTTCGTGCGTTGCAGTGAGAGTCCGCCATCTTGCCATTTGAGCAAATTTAAATCACTCTGGAATTTGGAAAAAAAAAAATCAGGGGTTTTCAAAACATTTAGGGAAACTCCAGATGGGAAAACAAGTAAAAGTTTTAAAATGACATTTAGTCTTTCAAATCTTCATTTTAAACTGTAAACAAGGAAAAAAGTACAAGTAGCTTATAACTGTACTTATAAAATAGAATGAATATGACTGTTTTAAAAATATAAAGTAAAATTTAGGGGGACATTACATACATACATACATACATACATACATACATACATACATACATACATACATACATACATACATACATACATACATACATACATACATACA